AATGGATGGGAATGAGCAAATTTAATTCAGATGACCATTATATCTACTACTGTGGGCAAGAATACCTGAGAAGAAATGGAGTAGCCCTCATAGTAACAGTAGAGTCCAAAATGCAGCCCTTGAGTGCAGTCTCAAAAACGACACAGTGATCTCTGTTCGTTTCAAAGGCAAACCATTCAACATCACAGTAATCCGCATTCAGCACCACAGTGCCCCAACCATTAATGCTGAAGAAGCTCAAGTCGAACAGTTCTATGAAGACCTTTAAGACCTTCTAGAACTCACACACACACACAAAGAGATGTTCTTTTCATCAATATGGGATTAAAATGTTGAAGTAGAAAGCCATACCTGGAGTAACAGACAAATTTGACCTTGGAGTACAAAATGAAGCAGAGCACAGGCTAATTGAGTTTTGCCAAGAAAATACACAGGTCATAGCAAACACCCCCTTCCAACAACACAACAGATGACTCTACACATGGACATCACCAGATAATCAATACTGAAATCAGATTGGTTATATTCATTGCAGCTGAAGGTGGAGAGGCTCTATACAGTTAGCAAAAAAAAAAAAAAAAACACAACACACCTGAAGCTGATTGTAACTTCAGATCATGAGCTCCTTATTGGAAAATTCAGACTTAAAGAAAGTAGAGAAAACCACTAGACCATTCAGGTATGACCTCAGTCAAATCCCTTATAATTATACAGTGGAAATGACAAATAGATTCAAGGGATTAGGTCTGATAGAGTGCCTGAAGAACTATGGATGGAGGTTCATAACATTGTACAGGAGGTGGTGACCAAAGCCATCCCCAAGAAAAAGAAATGCAAGAAGGCAAAATGGTTGTTTGAGGAGGCTTTACAGATAGCTGAGGAAAGAAGAGAAGCAAAAGGCAAAGGAGAAAAGGGAAGATATATCCATCTGAATGCAGAATTCCAAAGAACAGCAAGGAGAGATAAGAAAGCCTTCTTAAGTGAACAATGCAAAGAAATAGAGAAAAACAATAGAATGGGAAAGACTAGAGATCTCTTCAAGAAAATTAGATACCAAGGGAACATTTCATTCAAAGATGGGCACAATAAAGGACAGAAATGGTATGGACCTAACAGAAGCAGAAGACATTAAGAAGAGGTGGCAAGAATACATAGAACCTGCAAAACAGGTTTTAATGACCCAGATAACCACTCACCTAGAGCCAGACATCCTGGAGTGTGAAATCAAGTAGGCCTTAGGACAAACCTAGTGGAGGTGATGAAATCACAACTGAGCTATTTCAAATCTTAAAAGATGATGCTGTGAATGTGCTGTACTTGGTACACCAGCAAATTTGGAAAACTGAGCAGTGGCCACAGGACTGGAAAAGGTCAGTTTTCACTCCAGTCCCAAAGAAGGACAGTGCCAAAGAATGTTCAAACTGCCACACAGTTGAGTTCATTTCACATGTTAGCAAGGTAATGCTCAAAACCCTTCAAGATAGGCTTCAATAGTATGTGACCAAGTACTTCCAGATATACAAACTGGATTTAGAAGCGGCAGAGGAACCAGAGCTCAAATTGCCAGCATCCATTGGATCATTGAAAAAGCAAGAGAATTCCAGAAAAACATCTGCTTCGACTACACTAAAGCCTTTGACTGCGTGGATCACAACAAACTGCAAAATTCTTAAAAGTTGAGAATACTAGACCACCTTGCTCGCCTCCTGAGAAGCCTGTATGCAGGTCAAGAAGCAACAGTTAGAACCAGACATGGAACAACAGACTAGTTCAGAATTGGGAAAGGAGGAGGTCAATGCTGTATATATTCACCCTGTTTAACTTATATGCAGAATATATAATACAAAATGTTGGGCTAGATGAATCATAAAGTGGAATCAACCAGCAAACAGGAAAAAGACATGAATAGTCATTTCACTAAAGAGAATGTATAGATTGGCAAGTAAACACGAAAATGATATTCAGTATCTTAGCCATTAACAAAATGCTAATGAAAACCCCAGTAGGGGGTCCCTTTTATGCTTGTTGAAACAGCTGAAATAAGAATAGCAATGCCGAAAACTAGGAAGACTATGGGGAAGCCAGATCAGTCAATGCAGCCAGTGGAAGCCTAAGATAATTCAGCCACTTTTTGAAGACGTTTGATGGTTTCTTGAAAAACTAAACATGCAACTACCATATGACCCTGCAGTTGTACTTTGGGACATTTATCCCAGAGAAATGGATGCTTACGTCCACACTAAAACCTATATGGAAATGTTTATAGCAGCTTTATTTGTAGTAGCTAAAAATTGTTAATCACCCTGATTTCCATTGAGTAAATGGTTAAAGTATGATGTAACCATACCGTGGGTTACTTAGCAAGTTAAAAAAAAAAAAAAATTTACTGTATCAGCAGCTTGATTGAATCTCAAAAGCAATATCTAGACTCAAAAGCTAGTCTCCATAGGTTGTAAATATTAACTATAAATATAATACAACTTTATAAAGTTCCATTTACAAAATATTCTTGAAATGATGAAAGTATAGAGATGGAGAACAAATTGGTAGTTCTAGGATTTAGAGGCAGAGAAGAGGAATGGGTTATCAGTATGACTATATGTAAAGGAGTAGAATAAGAATGATCTTTGTGGTTATGGAACAGTTGTGTATCTTGATTATAGTGATTGTTACATGAATCTACACGTGTGATAAAATTGCATAGAACTACCCCCACACACATAACTGCACATAAAACTAGTAAAATTGTAATGAGGTGTGTGTATTATACCCATGTCATTTTTCTGGTTTTCATATTTTATTATAGTTATGTGAAGTGTTTACACAGGGGAGTTTGGGCTAAGGGTATATATACAGAGCCTCTTTAAAAATGTCATATGATCTGTATTCACTTCAACATAAGTTAAACACAAGCACACATGCACAAAATCATATATATTATAAAATGACCAAATTTTGTAACAAATTTTTACAAATATTTAAGTGAAAATTAAATGGAAAGGAGGTGAAGAATAAGTTGTTTTTGAAAAACAGAGGTTTGTGGTATTTTGCATTAGTTTTGCCTCTGTCTTATTCTGTGATTGTTAAATACAGAGGACCATTGTTTATGTTAGATTCATGTATATGGAAATTGCCTTAACTTATATATATCACTGATCCTCATCATTCACAGGTTCCATACTTGCCATACTTTCAAATTCTCCTACTTGCTGAAACGTGTTTGTAACCCCAGCACCAGCACTCAGCAGCAGCACTTTCAGTCATTTGCAGGCATATGCAGAATGGTGAAAAATTTGAGTCACTTGATGCACTTGTATCCAGATGAGACAGTGCGCTGCATCTTATTCCAGCTGTCATATAATTAAGTGTCCATTTCATCACCCGTTTAGTGCTGTGTTGTTTCCATTTTATTGGTGGTGTCACCATTTCAAATGTTCTCCACCATGTAATGCTGAAATGCTGTCTAGTGTTCCTAAGCTCAAGAGGTCTACGATGTGCCTTACAGAGAAAATGCATATTACATAAGCTACCTTATAACATAAAGTTACAGGACTATTGGCTAAAAATATGGCACATTCAGAAAAAGGAAAGCAAACTTCACCAACTTGTACATCAAGCCTCTCCAGAAAGGGCTGAAGGAACATTTGAGTACCTTTCCTGTGGAGAGAATGGAATCTACTTTTGTAGATTCATGAGATGACCACCAGTAAAAAGCTTGTGGGCAGCATTGTTGGAAGGTGAAAAGCCAAAGAGACATTTGATCATGGTACCAGGGGTCAGGAGAATGTTAAGCCCTTCTTTCATGGAGCTTGCTGGCTCCCACGTTTCAGGTGATAATGGATGCAGGCAGGTTCTGCAGAACAGGAGACTGGGGAAGAATTTCAGAGACACCTGCTAAGTGTTATACAGGAAAAGGTTATGTGGCAAGTTTCCAACCCGGATGAGACTGGCTCATTTTACAGAGATGTTGGCAGGCAAGCTTACTGCACATGGCATTCCAATTGTCAAAAATGTCACCAGAGGCCCACAGGAACCTAACACTGAATTTCTACTAAGATTAATATTAATAGTTCAGTATTCACTGATTCAAGATTGGCAGCAACTTTAATATACTGTAACTTCCACAGATAACAGGAATCAACTGTATTCTCCAATTTCCTCTGGGTCCTCTTCCTTAAGGGTTTTGATTCTTTAATGCATTTACTTAATATAACAATGCTTAAAGCATTGCTCACTGTCCTCTGAAAGACTGTACTTCTTACTCATGCCACCATATCAGTCAAGAGTTTACAAAGATGTTCTGGTATTATTGCAAGTCAAAATAACCAAATAGTTCACTAGTATATAGGTTGCCTTATTTGGCGGAAATACAACAAATGTTCATAACCTAACATGAGCTACAAGGTTTGTGTAACAATGCATGTCGTAGAGCCTGTACATCTTAAGTTGAAGATGAGACACCTATATACTATCTAGTATATCTGTGTCAGCTTCTAGGAACTCCCAGTAGGTAATAGGAATAAGACAAGTTTCCTATTTTTGTTTATACCAGGTATAGGAAGTCTGTATTACTGTTATAAAGTCTTAAATATAAATAAATGCCTCCAGATGTTAATGAAACTTCCAAGTACTTGGTTATTTTGTGTCTTATACATATCTATAGTTGTCATTGTGCAGATGTGCAATGATGTTATTTTATTTTTTTAACACCAAAAACATTTTGTTTTGTGGTATAGCCGATTAACAATGTTGTAGTTTCAGGTGAACAATGAAGGGACTCAGCCATACATATACATGTATCCATTCACCCCCCCCAACCCCTCTTCCATCCAGGCTAGCACATAACATTGAGCAGAGTTTGATGTACTATCCAATAGGTCTTTGTTGGTTATCCATTTTAAATATAGCAGTGTGTACCTGACCTTCCCAAAGACCCTAACTATCCTACAATGACGTCATTTTAAACACAAATAACCACTTACCCTTTTCTTTATTTTTAGTTTACTTGTCACGTTGTTACACCAATACTAGAGAGTATAGTTTCATACATGATACTCTCAACGAGTGCCGGCTTGATGTAAGCCGTGACCTACAGTCTTCATGGCAGTTTGGGGATACAAAACTGATTCACAATGAGGGTCTGGAAAAAAATTTTACTTCTAAGAGGTAAGTTACTGTGACCTAAAGAAGTTTGAGATTTTGTTTGCTTTTCATGTGAAGTGTTTATACGAATTTTTTATTTCTGCCATTTGAGATTTTATAAGTGTTACCAAGAAAATAAGTCCAGAAGTGTTTTATTCATTGTTGCCATCTCAGAGCCTTTTGTAACAGTAAAGTGGTACATATGAGATTTGATTAGTAAGTTTTACACATTATTGTAGCCAGGTTTCAAACACACCCTTCTAACTTTTTAATCTTTGTAAATTTTTCGGAAACATAACATCAGCACATTAATTAAATAGCTATTTTGTAGATGGTCTTGTGCCTCATGCACAATATAAAACAGCATTAAAGTATTTAGAATGTACCTTTTTTCTTGATTCAGTCCTTCAGAGACTGAGTTGATGTTTTAATCTGTCACAGTTTTATCTGGCTGTTTCCAACTATTCCACTAGAACCACAATTTCTGACACTTAACTTTTAAAAAGGACCCATTCTGCAACTTCTCTGGCAGTTCAGTGGTTAAGACTCCATGCTCCCAGTGCAGGGGGCACTGATTCAATCCCTGGTCGGGGAACTAGACCCCACATGCCGCAGAACATGACCAAAAGAAAAAAAAGTACCCCTTCTGTTTTGAGGAAAGACACATTCCATTAGGTAATTTTGATAAGAAAAAATAACAGCACATGGGGAGTTCTCATTGTAAACATTTTGTATTTATAGGTACAGATCTTATTCTGAACACGGTTCAGCATTTTCATTTTTTGAACTTGCTTCCTTCACCATTTTGCATGTTAAGTGTGAACCTAACTGTAGCTTGATGGACTCACATTGAGAACTCGTTTCGGAATGTGTTTGGTCTCTTTTTTTTTGTTTGTTTTAGAGTCAGTTTCTCTTGACTCAAACATGCTACCCTATTTGATGTTAGTTTGGGAGAATGGGTAGGAATGGCAGGATTAGTTGGTGGCATAGTCTTTCCTAAAAACCACAGTTTTGAGCAAAAGTAGAATGGACTGACTATATGCTGCCCCCTCCAGATTGAAATAATGGTTTGATCAAAAATTAATTCCTGCATTGTTCCTTGATTTGAGTTAGATTAGGCATTTTAATTTGTGTCCTTTTTCACAATGCCCCCAATACTTCATTTCAACCATTTATTTCTCCCTGTTAACATTACAAGAGAGTTAAAACAACTCCCCAACAATACAAGACCTAACAGAACATTCTAAATGACTAATAGATGTAGGATTTATGTATTTGCTCAATTAGACAAACTGATTTATATCCCATAGTATTTGATACTCATTTTATATTGGTTTTGTCTTGTTTCCTTACTATATTATGAGTTTTATCTTACTTGTTTTTCTGTCCATAGTGTGGAACTGAGTCTGGCAACATAGTGGGCAATTAATTGTTAAATTAAGCTACATTTCATCATTTTAAATGAGTGATGCTAGAAGATACCCTTAAGTAGCCTTAAGGCATAGGTTAAAAAAAAAAATACCAGAATGGTTAGTAGAAGAGAAAAATAGGATAGACAGATAAAAAAAGAAAGTGTTAATAACATTGACTGCCTCTAGCTTTTCTTTTTGTTGTTCCCATTAGAGGAGTGTATAATCTCTGGTCTCATCAAAAGCAAGGAGTTCCCAAAATGCACCAGTCTCCCATTTCTCATCCACATTGCATCTACTACTTCTTAAGTGTGAAATAAGCAGAAACACATTAATCATCTAAATATATGTGTATTCAGTCACTCATTGAGCATTTCAGTGCCAACTGTGTCAGAAAATGTATTCAGTTCAGTTCAGTTGCTCAGTTGTGTACGACTCTTTGCCCACCCCATGGACTGCAGCATGCCAGGCCTCCCTGTCCATCACCAACTCCCAGAGCTTACTCAAACTCATGTCTATTGAGTTGGTGATGCCATCCAACCATCTCATCCTCTGTTGTCCCCTTCTCCTCCTGCCTTAAATCTTTCCCAGCATCAGGGTCTTTTCAAATGAGTCAGTTCTTTATCACCCTCAGAGAAAAATGAATGTTTTCTCCTCAACCTTAGAGAGTTTATATTCCAGTGGAGAAGACATACAGCTAAAATGTCAAATCTTATGTTATAATAAAGATGTAGGTGCATAGATGTGGGATTGAGCATTCTTCCTAAGAATCTTGAGAGGTGTTTTGAAGAGTTAAGAACTTTAGCTGGTCTCAGTGGATAATAGAGAACTGAATTCAGTTCTTCTTAAATATATTGCCCTATTTGTATCAGTTTGACCTTTCTTTTGTTTTAATATAACTGGACTTTAAACATTTGAAATTTATGTGAAAGGGTATCATTTTAAAGATCGTCAATACCTGTCTTGACACTGAGGTTAAATTTATACTCAGCATCTCGGTTTACATTCCACCCCAAATGAGTAGACTGAACCATCCATGCTTAATTTCATTTACTATATCAATGATTGGTTCCAAGATGAAGTAAAACTAAATCAGTTTGGGCCAGTGACACCCTGGAAAAAGGGGTTAATCCTCTGTGTCCATTTTGGGAGGATCAGTTCCTGGAGGTTTACTGTATTCCTTTGGTGGAGTCTTATTTCCCTGACTCTTAGAGTCCTGTAGCCTTGCTTAGGTGTCTGCATGCTGACGAAAAGACTCTATGGACTGACTTTGCTAAGAAAAGACCTTCCTCTGCGGGTGGGGACATGCTGAAGATTGCTGTGACACTGGGTTAATGGTGGGTTCCCAGGGAAGGGGCGTGTGTGGCTCCATGTCTCGGGGATTGTGGTGTAACTCATTGGATCAAGCCATTGGGATCCACAACATGGACAATTGTGTGACCTTTGGAAAGCACTGCCAGGTGTCTGCAGAGGCTCCAAGGACTGTTGGGGTTCTCAGCGGCACCTCATCGTCGTAAATGAGGGAGAAGACCAGAGCAAGCAGCAGTGGTGGCCCAGGTGGCTTGGTATGCACACTCTCGGCCATGCAGGCCAGGTGCAGGTACCTGTGTGGTGACCGAGCTGGTCGGGGATCCAAGAGAGGAGACGGTAGGGAGGGACTCAGGAGACAGGCATCAGCAAGTGAGGATACTTGTGGAGAGAACCTGGTGAAATTTGCAGGGGTCCAGGCAAATCTGTGCTGGCTTTGGTTTCTTTGCTGGTGGAAGTTGTCAGGGTCATTTGTAGACCAGGTCACTGGGAAAGGCAGTCTCTTGCTGTGTGGCTGCTGAGTAGTCCCTGCCTTTCTTCTCGTTCCTAGCATGAGTATATGCCCTGGCTTTGCCAGTATCTTCAGGTCAGTTCAGTTGCCCAGTTGTGCCCGACTCTTTGCAACCCATGGACTGCAGCATGCCTGGCCTCCCTGTCTATCAGCAACTCCCAGAGCTTTGCTCAAACTCACATCCATTGAATCGGTGATGCCATCCAACCATCTCATCCTCTGTCGTCCCCTGCTCCTCCCACCTTCAATCTTGCCCAGCATCAGGGTCTTTTCCAAAGAGTCAGCTCTTTGCATAGGTGACCAAAGTATTGGAGCTTGATCTTCAGCATCAGTCCTACCAATAAATATTCAGGACTGGTTTCCTTTAGGATTGACTGATTTGATCTCCTTGCTGTCAAAGGAGATCTTCTCAAGAGTCTTTTCCAGCACCACAGTTCAAAAGCATCAATTTTTCGACACTCAGCTTTCTTTATGGTCCAGCTCTCACATCCATACATGACTACTGGAAAAACCATAACTGACTAGATGGACCTTTGTCGGCAAAGTAATGTCTCTGCTTTTTAATATGCTGTCTAGTCTGGTCACAACTTTTTTTTCCAAAGAGCAACTGTCTTTTAATTTCATGGCTGCAGTCACCATCTGCAGTGATTTTGGAGCCTAAGAAAATAAAGTCTGCACTATTTCCACTGTTTCCCCATCTATTTGCCATGAAGTGATGGGACTGGATGCCATGATCTTCGTTTGTTGAATGTTGAGTTTTAAGCCAGTTTTTTCACTCTCCTCTTTCATCATCATCAAGAGGCTCTTTAGCTCCTCTTTGCTTTCTGCCATTAGGGTGGTATCATCTGCATATTTGAGGTTGTTGATATATCTCGATCCCAGCCTGTGCTTCATTCAGCCTGCATTTTGAGTGATGTACTCTGCATATAAGTTAAATAAACAGGGTTACAATATACAGCCTTGACAAGCTCCTTTCCCAATTTGGAAGCAGTCTGTTGTTCCATATCCAGTTCTAACTGCTGCTTCTTAGTAGATGACAAGATACTATGTATAGAAAACCCTAAAGTCACCACAAGAAAAGCAACAGAACTATTAAATGAATTGATTACAGTTGTAGAATATTAGAAACATATTGCTTTTCTATATACCAATAATGAACAATCAGGAAGAGAATACAAGAAAAAATCGAAATCAAAACTGAACCAAAAGGAACAAAATATCAACAAAATAAAAATAATATTGTAGTGAAGAGAAGAAAATATTCACAAATGGTATGACACCTATTGGGGTTAATATGGAAAATACATAAACAGCTCATAACACTCAATAAATACTAAAAAAACCAAACCCATTGAAAATGTGTAGAATACCTAAATAGACATTTTTCCAAAGAAGATATACAGATGCAAGATGCACATGAAAAGATGATCAACACTGATAACCATCAAGAAATGCACAAAAAGCAGAAGTAGATTAACACATCACACGTGTCAGAATAACTATCATTAGAATGATCACAAATAACATATGTTAGCAAATATTTTTAGTAAAAGTAACTCTAGCACATTGTTGGTGAGAAAGTAAATTGGTGTCAGTTCAGTTCAGTCTAGTCATTCAGTCCTCTCTGACTCTTTGCAACCCCATGAACCACAGCACGCCAGGCCTCCCTGCCCATCACCAACTTCTGGAGTCCACCCAAACCCACGTCCATTGAGTCGGTGATGCCATCCAACCGTCTCATCCTCTATTGTCCCCTTCTCCTCCTGCCCTTAATCTTTCCCAGCATCAGGGTATTTTCAAATGAGTCCGCTCTTCACATCAGGTGGCCAAAGTATTGGAGTTTCAGCTTCAGCATCAGTCTGTCCAATAAACACTCAGGACTGATCTCCTTTAGGATGGACTGGTTGGATCTCCTTGCAGTCCAAGGGACTCTCATGAGACTTCTCCAACACTACAGTTCAAAAGCATCAATTCTTTGGTGCTCAGCCTTCTTCACAGTCCAACTCTCACATTCAACATGACCTCTGGAAAAACCACAGCCTTGACTAGACGAACTTTTGTTGGCAAAGTAATGTCTCTGCCTTTTAATATGCTGTCTAGGTTGGTCATAACTTTCCTTCTAAGGAGTAAGCGTCTTTTACTTATTTACTGCCATATTAAAGATCTGTCTGTCTGTTGTATAACATCTGTAATAAAATCGGGCGGAGCACAGTTCACATACACACATACAAATACTGGGAGGGTGGGCTCCATTTAGGTGAAANCATGGCTAATTCATTTCAATGTATGACAAAAACTACTGTAATGATGTAAAGTAATTAGCCTCCAACTAATAAAAATAAATGGGAAAAAAATAATAAAGAAAATAAAAAAAAATAAACACAACTTACCATTTCTTGGAATGATAAAAAAAAAAGAAAGTAACCCTGAATATTCATTGGAAACACTGATGCTGAAGCTGAAACTCCAATACTTTGGCCATCTGATATGAAGAACAGACTCATTGAAAAAGACCCTGATGCTGGGAAAGATTGAAGGTGGGAGGAGAAGGGAATGACAGAGGATGAGATGGTTGGATGCCATCACCGACTCATTGGACATGAGTTTGAGCAAGCTCCAGAAGTTGGTGATGGCCAGGGAAGCCTGGAGTGCTGCAGTCCATGGAATTGCAAAGAGTCATACACAACTGATTGACTGAACTGAACTTAGATCCTAAGAAAAACCAGTAGAGAAATTAGGAAAACAGAAAGAAGTATTTTAATTCTTCTGACTGTTAAGAATATACCTTAACAATCAAACATAGAGATCTTAGTGGTTTATAGAGCCTGACATCAGGGTGAAAACAGGAGCAGGAAATGACAACAGTGGAGCTGAAAGTTAAGGCTGACATCTCTGGGAAAAGAGAAGTGGTCATGATCTCATCGGTTAGTCTTGCTTGTAATTGTTGCTGTGTGTTTTGTTGCCATGGCTGTCTCCCGTTAAAGGTGACTTATTCTTGCATATAAATATTAATACTTGTGAGTGACATCCCAGGAAATGGTAAATATTAGTAGTATGTGGTGTTCACGAGTTTTCCTTTGATTGGTATACACATTGCTTTCTAGATTCTGTAGCTTCTCCGTTGATGATGGTGCTTTGGAATCAGCTCTGTCGTAGTGACTGAACCACGCTTGTATCGTGTGGTGTCACAGCTGCTGCTGTTACTGGTGCTGAGCAAGCCATGTAGGACTCCTTACCTAATACCCCGGTGTTTCAGTGGTTCTTGTGGGATGTAGGTGAGGTTTCAGGAGTATAGACTATAATTTTTGTTTCCTATCTTTAGCAAACCTGAAGTATTTGTCTTCTTTGGAAATTCTGTTGATGTTCTCATTTAACTATTCACTGTTTTGCTTTAGGTCAGAGATGCGTGAGAGTGGAAGGCATGGCAGAGAACTTGAAGAACATTTCTGCTTTTTAGCACTTCCTCAGAAGGATGTGACTGAGATATATCACAGTGGACTAAGTACCAAAGCATCTTCGTTGAGAATACTAGGAAACCCTCGTCTTGGAATTTATATATTTAGACATGTTGATGTTGCCTTGAATTATGCTCACAATAGAAGCATTACTGTAGAAAGTATTATCATATTTAAGGTTGGTAGCACAAAAGAAATATTATATTCAGTTTGCTTTAATTGACCTAAACATTATTTTACTTTCAACATGAATTACTGTTTTAAACTCGAATTGTATAAAATAAATAATAGTTATCATCATCATCACCATTTGAAATTTTCCCCTATTTTTGGCTCTAGTGGGTATGCAGCATAAAATCTTCAAGTAAGCAAAGGCAGGCTTTATCATCTTGGTTTCCTAATGTATATATTTTTTGTTCTAATTGACTTTATTATCTCTCTTTCTTTTCTTCAGACTATAATTAATATCAGTGTTTTCAGTGTCTTTTTCCAGAACATTGGTATTAATAATTCTGGTTTAGCTAAAGTTACTAAACTCCTACTATTTATTTTAATTAACAGTGTTAGACAATATTAATTACTTTGTGTTGATAATCTTGCTATCTTATATAAGATGTTAGCATTAGGAAAGATGAAGTTAGAAGTATATAGATCTCTGAATAATTTTGTAACTTTTTTGAAAGTCTGAAGTTATTCAAAATTGAGGAAAAAATCAGTCTTACAGTTGAATTGTATCGACAGACACAGATAGGCTAAGATATATTTTTTGGTTAACTGCAGCTTTGCCAAGACTACTAAAATCACTGTAGGTAGACAGGACCCTCAGTTATGTAACTTAGAATGTGTATGAAAGTGAAAGGGAAAGTGAAAGGGAAGTCGCTCAGTCGTGTCCAACACTCTGGGACCCCATGGACTGTAGCCTACTAGGCCCCTCCGTCAATGGGACTTTCCAGGCAAGAATACTGGAGTGGGTTGCCATTTCCTTCTCCATAGGATGTGTATACATCCACATAAAACCAATGGTTCATTTGGTATTATTTAGTTATTTTTAGATCTTGGATATTATCAAAGTCATAAAGTGTAATTTATATTAAAATACTGATTTTAGGAAATTTGGAACATACTCAGAAGCTCTGAAAAGCCCATTGATAATGATAGTTAATTTTTTTGTATATCTATACTTCATCTTCTGCTTATATACATGGATATGCATTGTACTATGGTCATTAAAATATATTACTACTTTAATACTATATAACATTTTTTATTGATTATAAAATCATTTTCCATACCATTCAATATTTTTTGTAATATCATTTTGAATGACTATGTAATATTCCACTCTACAGCACTACCATAAATTTGTTAACAAATTTTTCAATGTTGGGATATAAATTACTTTTGCTTTGTTTTGTTTTGTAGTTTTAAGTAGTACTTGGATTATTCATGTAGGTACATTTTACACACACCTGTGATTATTTGCTAAGAATTGATTAATTCCTGTGTGTCAAGTTAGGAGTCACATGTATACGTACACTTTCCCAGTTTTTGATACGTAATGCCCAGTTGTCCTGAGAAAGGTTAGACTAACTGCCATTCCTGTGCAAAGCATGGGAAATGTTTATTATCTCTTATCTTTACTAACTCTGTGTATTATATTTTTAAAAAAATATTTGCCAGTCTAATATGTGATAGTTTCTTTCTCATTGTTGGTTCAGCTTTTCTTTTTCATAGTTATTGCTGAGCTTAACATTCTGCATGTATTCACTGATGATGAGTGAATTGCCTATTAACAACTTTTGCTAGATTTTTGTTTTTTCTATTTTTCTAATTGATTCATCAGCATTATCAATTCATTAAAGTGAATCTTGAGAGCTAGGATTTTCATTGTATAATGTTTTATCACTTAGTGCTTTCTTTTTTATTTTTTTATTTTATTTTATTTTTTTTTTATTTTTATTAGTTGGAGGCTAATTACTTTACATCATTACAGTAGTTTTTGTCATACATTGAAATGAATTAGCCATGGATTTACGTGCTTTCTTTTTTAAAATAAAAAAGTTTATTTTTTTAAGTTTTTTTAAATAAACTTTCTATTTTGGAATAAATTTAAATTTACAGAAAAGTTATATAGTACAGAAAGTCCTGTATACAGTTTTCCCTAATGTTACCATTTCATATAACTATGGCACCTCTGTTAAAATGAAGAGCCTAATAGTATATATGTTAATTATATCTCAGATTTTTAAAAAAAATAATAAAATGAAAGAAACCAGCATTGGTACAGTACTATTTGCTACAAATTATTGGTTTCTGCCAGTTTTTCTACTAATGTTTTTTCCTCTTCCAGTGTCCAAGTACAGAGTACCACATTACATTTAATATTATTTTTAACTTTGAATGAATTACTAGCATATGAAAAAATAAAAGTAATAAAATTGGGGACGTAAAATTTGCACTTGTTTTCATATTAACTGCACTTTTCCCTACCTTTTATCACTTAATGGTTCATAGTTTTTAAAATTTTTATACTAATTTTTTTAAATTTACTTTTTAATTGGAGGCAAATTGCCTTACAATTGTTGTATTGTTTTCTGCAATACAACTTGATCATTTTTTTGTGATGTACAGAAGTTTTGGAATATTTTACAAAGAAGCATGATTTCGGTTCGTGGTTTTTTGGCAGTATGGTTAGAAAAGAATTATCTTTGAGAGTAGATAAATATTCGTATTTCTTTCTACAGTGTTTACATTACTTAAATATTTAATTTATTTGGTATTTATTTTGGTTTATAGATTAAGAGACGAATTTAATGTTTTTAAGGTCCACGCCATTTAGTGAATAATCTGGTTCTGCTTCATCTGTTTCAAGTGATGCTTTTAATATTATGCTGTATTTTTATAGCTGCTTGGACTTATCTGGACTTTTTACTTTGTACAGTTTTTTCCATCTCTGCCTTTTTTTGTGGTAGTAGTCTTTTAAAAAGTACTTAATATCTGGAAGTATGTGTCACTTTTCCTGTTCCATCATTATTTCTGACTCAAATATTTTTTTCAAAAATTTTGTAGGTTGTTCTTGTTTCATCTTCCAGAGAAGTTTTTAAATTAAAACTCATTTCTATAAATGGATTTTCTGAAATTTTTGTTGAAATTACTTTAGTCTTAGAGTTTGATTTAGGGAGGAATTGACATAATTCTAATAAGTCATCCCATTCATCTGGGACATGAATTATCTCCCCATTCTAATTTCTTTCCTTAAAATAGAAGCTAGTTTTATTTTCCTGGTATGAGAGTTTAAGATGTTCTGGTATATCTTTATTGACTTTCTTTTTACCTTTTCCTCCCCAGGTTCTTTTTGGAAAAGTGAGGAAAATTCAGCCTTCACTAGATAAAAGCAAAGTTTCTTTGGATCCTTCTCCTAACTTTGACTGCCATATGTCAAGAAATACACCTTCTCTGAAGGATACCATTGAACTCCAAGCCTACAGTTCAGCAGTATGTTTACTTTTTGATTCACTTGACTACTTGAAAGTTACTTGCCTCACATTGTATGATACAAGTCTTAAAACAACTGTCCAAAATATTAAGTGGAAATCTCTTACTTCATTCATATTTGTTTAGGTCATGTAATATGACCTGAATACGAAATAAGCCAATAAGATGGCAAGGTGACACAAAGACTATCTTCACAGATACTGCTTTTTTTATGAATTAAAGGTTTCTGGCAACTTTGCCACATCTGTTGGCACCCTTTTCCATATAATATGACCTAAATAAGTAAATAGTAAAAGCTGCTTTAATATTTGTGATCTGAAAACATTAATAAAGAAGCTTCTAGATTTGCATTTAATTTTTGCTCCTTTTATTTAAATGTTCATAGATTAATGCCTAACTTGCAAAACAAAGATACTTTGAAATAACCCTACTGATTCTTTGTACTTTGTAAAAGGAAAAAAGGCTTATGTTTTAGTCATTAGATAGTCGACTAATTATTAAGCAGTAATTTTCTGTCATATCTAAAAGAGACACTTATCTAACCTTTTATAGAAGATTAACTTATAAATACCATTATGTATAATTATATATATATGATTAAATGAGGATATTTTAGAAGTGTGTATATATATATATATATATATACTCCCACATGTATATTAAGCTATTGTTATTTTTCTAGTTGACTTTTCCTCCCAGATAAAATACAATATAGTGATTCCTAGCATATGCAAAACATTGAAGTTTTAATGGAGAAATGCTTTTATATTTAAATATAGATTATGTCTTTCTGCTGATATTTGAAGCCTATCAAGGAAAAAAGATGATGTGGAGAAAAAAATTCATCTTCAAGAAAACTAGAGTTGAAGAAGACAGGGAGAGGGAGATGTATAAAAGATGGTTAATAAATAGCAACACGGCGTTAAATAGATTTTTTAAAATAGAAACTTTTTCAAGTCTGTAAAAATTAATCATCATAAAAATGTTTTTTATCTTTTAGGTATACTTGTATGAATATAATATTCTTTCAAAGCCAGTAGATAAACCTAGGCAGTGTCTTCCATATGCAATAGTAACAGTAAAATTTATTGGTCAAAAAGTAGATAATGGACACTTCATGACACCTTTGAGACCCCTCGCAACAGGATTTCCTAGGAGAACTGGTAAGATACATATATATACATACATATATACATAATACATATATATTCTGCTTCAGTAGCATCTGTGGTGGTCTTACTGCTGAATATTATTTTCTAATACATCATGAATCTCTAAGCAAAATAGGTGTGCTTTCCCTGTTTTTGATTTTATATATCTAGAATTAACATTGTAACTGTTTTTGTTACTTTTCTCAGCATTAAGTTTGTGTGATCCTTCCATGTTGATATATATAACCATAGTTTCTTCATTTTCACTCATATATATACACACACACACACACACATAATATTCAATTTTATGACTCTACATTATACTTCGGAGCATATTTGGACATTTTGTGGTTTTCTTCATATTCCAAACATTGCTGTTTTAAACATTCATATAAGTGTCTCAGTGCTTATGTGCAAACTGTTCTACAGAGTATATATCTACATCAGGAATGTGCCACTTAATTTAGAAACAGTGTCATAATTTTCAAAAGTGGTTGCATCAGGTTACCTTAATTACTCTCTGTCATTGCCAGCATGATAGACTTTTAAAAAATACATTTCTGCCAGACTCACAGATTTGAAAACAGACATATGGTTACCAAAGGGAAAGGTAAGTGGGAGGGATAAGTCAGAAGTTTGGGGTTAACATGTATACAATACTGTATATAAAACATAATCAGCAAGGACCTACTGTATAGCCTAGGAAACTCTACTCAATAACCTATACAGGAAAAGAATCTGAAGAAGAATGGATATATTTATATGTATAACTAAATCACTTTTCTTTATACCTAAAACCAACACAGTATTGTAAATCAGCTATACTCCAATATAAAATAAAAATTAAATTTAAAAAGTTTCTGCCAGCATAGTGAGAGGGATATGTTATCATTATCAGCTCAAAAAGAGACTATTTACCCATTAAAAGCTTTTATTTGTCTTTTTCCCCAAGCCCCACACTATCCCTAAACAGTCACCAGTCTGCTTTCTGTCTCTAGTAAGCCTATTCTGGCCATTTCATATGAGTGAAGTCATAAACAGTAGCCTTTCGTGACTGGTGACTTTTGCTTAACAGTGTTCTCAGGGCTCAGGCATGTTGCAGCATGTGTCAGCACCTCACTCCTTTCTGGGGAATAATGTTCTGTTATATACGTTGCGTTGTGTTTGTTCATTCATCAGTGGATGGCCAGTGGGTTGTTTCCACCTTTTAGCAATTACGAACATTTATGCTAAGAACTTTCTTGTACAAGGTTAGGTGTAGATGTGTTTTCTTTGCTCTTAGGTATATAGCTGAGAGGCATATGATTATAGGGGAAGTCTGTATCAATCATTCAAGGAACTGCCAGACCATCTTCCAAAGTGGCTGCACCATTGACATTTACATTAACAGTGTGTGAGAGTTAGAATTTCTCCACTTTCTTGTTAACACTTATTATCTGACTTTGAATTATAGCCATTTTGTGGATATAAAGTGAGGTTTTCAGAGTATAAGTTTTATACTTCTTTTGTTAAATATATTCCTAAGTATTGCACTCTTTTTGATCCTCTTGTAAATAGAGTTGTTTTCTCAATAGTGATTTCCTTGGGGTTTTCTATATGCAAGATAGGATCCATATGCAAATAGAGATAGTTTTACTTCTTTCTTTCCAATCTAGATGTCTTTTATTTCTTTTTCTTGTCTAATTGCCTTGGCTAGAACCTCCAGTGGAATGTTAAATAGAAGTGGTAAGAGTGGCCATCTTTGTCTTGTTCCTGAACTTAGGGGGAAAGTGTTTACTTTTTGCCAGCAAGTATCATGTTAGCTGAGGGGTTTTTTAATGTCCTTTACCATGTAGAGAAAGTTCCTTTCTATTCCTGGTTAGTTGAGTGCTTTTATCTTGAAAAGGGAAATTAATTATCCTTCAGAATCTTTGCCATCTAAAAGGTTTTTTAATATGAATCTTCTTGTGCATTTAGTGGGGTTGGACATCTTTTAGTATTTGTTGACAATTTTTATTTAACCTGTGATTTTCTTAGTCATATACTTTGCCCAACTATCTGTTGCACTGTCTTTTTTTAATTAATCTTTTGAAGATACTGTACGTTTTAATGTATTCCAATATATTTAATAATATACTGTTTGTCTCATCCCTATTTTTGAACATATTTCACTATAGCTTACTATAATTGAAAGTATAATCACAGTGATTATATAATTTGGGAATCTTCAACAGAGCTATTTTTTTTAACATTTTGTGAAAACTAAATGGTACATTCTCAGTGATATGATTATGATTTCATATATTATTCATGAGCAATTTCTGATTATTAGTCTATTTTAATAATAGTATTTTCATGGTACTGCTTAGCTATGTACCCAGTAGCTCAGTTGGTAAAGAATCCACCTGCAATGCTGGAGACCCTGGTTCAATTTCTGGGTCAGGAAAATCCGCTGGAGAAGGGATAGGATACCCACTCCAGTATCCTTGGACTTCCCTTGTGACTTAGCTGATAAAGAATCCGCCTGCAGTGCGGGAGACCTGGGTTTGATCCCTGGGTTGGGAAGATCCCCTGGAGAAGGGAAAGGCTACCCACTCCAGTATTCTGGCCTGGAGAATTCCATGGACTGTAGTCCATGGGGTCGCAAAGAGTGGGACATATCTGAGTGACTTTCACTTTCACTTAGCTATGAATGCTTTGTGAACATTTCACTTGCTCATTATGCATTTTTGTAAGTTCATTTGTTATTCTGTGAAGTTCTTTATGAAGTTTTAGGAATAATCTCTATAAATTTGAAAGAAAATCTGCTTCTATTTTCCAGGGTTTTATTTACATATATTATTGGCCAGAATATTTATTTCATAGTGGAGCAGGGGTAGTGGTTTGCTTTGGCTTCTGGGAAGGATTTTGTGCAAACTTTCTGCTCTTCCACCCACCCCCATTTCTTCACCTAATTCCCCTTTCCTTTCTGTTTTTGTTCTCCTGTGGTAGAGGGAAGTGAAGCAAGGTAACAGTAGATGCAGGGAGATAATTTGACCTAATAATATGTAGACTCTATTATAGAATATCTGCGCAGGAAACTAAGAGAAGAAATACCTAGTCTGTGATAAAAGTATGTTTTTATTCCTGTTTAATTTTTCTATTTCTTGGTGTTTGTCAGAATTCGAATTTTCATGGCAAAGACATGTTAGTAAGGGGCCTATAAGACAGAATTTCATGCTCCATCACTGTACTTTATTGGTCAGTTACTCATTCTCTTCCTGCTTCTTCTGCTGAGAACGTACTTTAATCATCACTAGATTATTTGACAGACTTTCAGTCAGTGCCCCTCATGACATGGTTTGCTTGCATTAATAGAGTTGCCTGTAGAAATACTTTTTCCTTCCTACTTTTCCTTACTTTCTTATTATTTCCACAGAAAGAACATGCTCTCTGAATAACTGTACAGTGGCCAAAAGAATTGGAAAAGGAAAAGATGCTACTGTCATCTTTGAGCATTTCAGGAAACCTATAGATCCATTTGTTCAGGAAAAGTGTTCATGCAATTCGTCAAATTCAGAAATAAATCCTTCCAACTCAGATATTTCTAATTCCTATGGAAGTATGCAAAATGGAAACATTTCTGTACTTGAAACATACAGTGGACATATGGAGTACAATTCAGCAGAATGCAGAGACACTTCTCAGTTACCTGCATGTGATTCAGGCCTTTCATTTATTCCCAGTGATACCAGAGAAAGTGTTAATAATGGTGACCTCCTAAATGTGACATATCTTAAAGCTATTTTAAGTAGTCTTGCTGCTGCTTTCCCCCTTCATAACAATACTGACTCAAGCACGGTTATTACTTCAAAATTCATCAAAGACCCAAGACTGATGAAGAGACAAGAAAGAATGGGAAAACATAATACTGTTACAGGTTTAAGTGAGATTTTGCCATTTGAGAAGAGTTTAGATTTTGTTAATTCAGAAACAAACTTGTCATCTATGCCAGCTAATCCTGCCTCCACATCTGAAGGCATGCCTGGTGATCAGACTGTTGTTACTAATTATTTGGATGCCTCTTGCTTCAGAATTTCTTTGGATGATCCACAAACCCAGGCTCACAACCTGGGCTCTAAGACCTATGATTGTACAGCTCCCAATAAAATTACCATGGCAGGACAATGTGAGAACCAGGATGATTTTTCCTTCCCAATGTTTTTGTCAAGTGTAGCTCCAGAAGTTGAAATCCAAAAACACAAGGAAGAAAAAGCTCAGAGATCCCGGCAGAGAGACACCATCCCATTTATAACTGACGAATGCAGTGAATCACATGACTCTTATGAATCAGTGAATACTTGTACAGACAAGTACAGTGGTCCCATCTCTCCAGAATCACAGTTTTCTAATTTTAAAACTGTATATGAGACTGGTCACCAAATGTCTACACTTTTTCCACTCCAAAGTGAAGAAAGTGTACATGAGTACATTCAAAATACTGGAAAGATGAGAAACTTCACTGACCCAGAAGACAATGCCAAATATGAAGAAAGGCAAAGTTTGTGGAAAGGAAGTGATCATTCTTTTACTAATAAAAGAAAAATCGGTCCAATAGATAATTACATTTCTTTGAACCAAGATGACAAAGAGGTTGAGAGTCTTGATTATTTGCAGAAAAATTGTGATCAAATATTAATTACTCAAGGGTTAGAAAAACCAAAATCTTTGCCATTTACCACAGAGGATAAGTATGAGCTAAGTCACCTAGCACTGGAAATACAAAACAATCTTACTCCAAGAGTGAAGAAAGTTCCATCGAAGCCTCCTAAGAACTCTTTAGAGTATAAAGATAATATTCATACAAATTTTGCCATTTCTCAAAAACTACTGGAGCTGAAATTGGAAAAACCAGATCAAAACTGTATTAGCATTATGGCTGATGCTTTCAAGGAAGCAGGAGACATTCCCCAGACCACACAACTACCAGCTGTTACTTCATGTCATGATATTAAAACAGCTCATAATGCAAATTGCAGCATAACTAGAGAACATCCATGTGTTCAAAGGAGAAATGAATATGATCCAGTGTCCCTAAAAGACATTCAAAGAGACTGCAAAGAAACAACTCTAATTAACAATAAAGGTCAACATCATACTCAGTTCTGTATTGCACAGTTGAACAATGGTGTGCACCTGAATACTGATTTCAGAGAACAAAGAGATAATGATAAAGAAAACCAGAAGGAGGCTGAAATGGAGAACATTGCTTCATCTATAGGAAACAACATAGGGGATATATATGGAGATGAGGAGCAGAGTTTTCAGACACACAAAACAAAAATTTTTATCAACATAGGTGAAAGGCAGGTGAATAAAGATGACAATAGCATTGAAATTCTGAGTTCAGAAAAATTTTCTCCTGCTTTTAACTTAACTAGTGGGATAAAACATGTATGCACTGAGTCTGCATCACTAGAAAGTGAAGATCCCATTACCATCATGAAAGAAAAAGATATTCAAAATACTGAAAGGACTGGAGAGCATTTGATTTCCACAGCATTTCTCCAAGTTGCAAGTTCTTCGTTACATGTAGCCTCACGTGCTGCAGTTGAGATAGCTGATGCTGCAATGCCTGTGGTAAGCACAAATCCTGAAGATCACCAAAGATCCCAGTTTAAAGAAACTTGTTCTTCTGAGAGTCCAGATTTTGGTTTGTTAAGCAAACCTAAGGTTTCTGCTTGTGAAATAGATACAGATAAAAATCGATGCCACAACTCATTTCATCAATCAGTAAGTGACAACTCAGTTCTTCAAAGTTTCAAATTGGATAATGAGACTGAAGTACGATCAGAAGAGAGTGATGATGCTTTTCCTGTGAGTATTCCACAGGATACTCATAGCCCGGAAAATGTACTTTATGAAGAATTCGAGGACTCCTATGAGGCTCTGAGGTCTCGCATCGATTGGAACGGTCTGTTGGGAAGCAGTAATGGGGAGGTGGAAGTGTTAGAAAGCAGCACAAGAGGTGAGGATTGGGACCAGCATTCCTCTGAGGAGCACAGCTGTGTGTTTTCCTCTACAGAAAAATACAAAGCAGAGCTCGTCAAACCAATTTTACTTCCTGATCTGCAAGTTACGATTACTAATACATTTATGAAAGGATTCAGTTCTACTGTTGAGTCCCTTGCATCGAAAGATGATTTCTGCAAGTATGTAACTGAAGCCACAAAATCAGAAATAAATGAGAAGGAGGAAGAAGTTCTAGAATTTGAAATTCATTCTCAGTGTTCTGGTGAAAATTCAGATCATCCCTCTGAAGGTGAATTTGGTAATATAAGGCAAGACTCTGGACTAACAAGTAAATCTGAAACTTCACTTTCTTTTGACTTGAGTCATAATATGCATGTGAATCACATGTCTGAAAAACAGAACAGATCTTTGCTAACTGAACCTTCTGATGTCACAACAGTAAATAACAAAAACAGATGTTCCCTTACAAAGTCAAAAACCAGTGGTAATGATACTAGAAGTAAAAAGGAGACAGAAGCAAGAATTAGCAAAAGAAAGCCTGGTACACCTTTCAGAGACCAGAACATACCAGATAAAAATTTAAGACATCACAAAATTTGTGAGAAGAGGAGGAAGCTAACAAGTCAAGACTCATTGGAATGTTTTTTTTCGTTATCCCAAGAACGAATTAAAACCTTTTCACAGTCAGAAAAACACATTAGAAGTGTCCTGGATATTCTAAATAGTGAAGCATCTTTATGTAAAAGCAAACGTCTTTCCAGAAAACTTGACAGAGCCGTTCTTCATTTAAAAAAAGCTCACAGAAGAGTTCACACGTCTTTGCAGCTGATAACTAAAGTGGGAGAAAAAAGAAGGGGCCCTTTACCAAGAGCATATGCAGTAATATGCAATAGTTTCTGGGAAAGTTGTGACCTTCAAGGTTATAGTTCTCTGTCTGAAAGAAAGTATTATTCCACTAAACATTTTCTGTCAAAAAGAAAATACAATAAACCTGGAGAGAATAGAGCTTTGGGATTTGAAGTTGATAGATCGTTAACTCATGTATCAAAGCACAAGTTTTATAGAACAAGTAGAGAGAGACTCACAGAGTGCCTTTCTGAAAATGTGTCCAGTGTCTCCAGAAGTCACACCACAGTTCACATGAGAGAATATTGTGATCAAGTATGTCCGGAATCACAGTTAGCCCTGTGCTCCGTGTCTGAAAGTACAAGTCAATCAGCTTTTACTAACAGTTTGAGAAATCCCAAATCATCAGAAGAATTTCAGCCCTTTTCTAGAAAAACCGGATGTCTCTTTTCCCCAGACTGCCCAGATGAGAAACTAACTAAAAAAGAAAATCGAACTGATACAGAATTTTCATCTAACATTAGTAAATATGAAAAACTTGAGAACCATTCAGCACTTGATAATATTAAGTATACAACAAAAGTAAACAATTCTGAGGCTAAAGAAATAATGAGTAAAAAAAATTTGATATCTTTAAGTTGCATAAAGGAAAACAACATAAGTTTTGGTGTGGACCAAAATTATTATGCAACTTGTATAGCCCACACAAAAGTGAAAACTGACATAGTTATTTCTGTCTTAGAATCAAAGGTGTGGCATTTTTTTAACATTGATATCCACAAACCAAACAACCTTATTTTATCTGGTTATAAAATAAACCTGGAGGTAAATTTTCCTGTAGAAAAATGGACAACTCCTAAGGAGATCTCCAAACCAGGCATTATTACAGGAAACTTTCTTATGGATCCATTAAGTCGAACTCTGATAACAAGCAAAAAGTCTAACAGTATTCCTCAGTTGCTCTCAATTGCAGCAACAGACAGTGAGGGAGAATTTTCAAAGTCTTCCATGGCTGAATGGAGCATTACTGCTGTAGAGTTTTCAGCAGTGTCTACCATTGCACCACACTGTGTGCAAGGGTGTGGTGGAAATGAACTTCAAAAGACAGACTCTTGCTCTTCAAGTAAATGGATTCATATCAATGGGAATGAAACAGATGTTGAGAATTCTGAGGTGACTGTCACATCAGAAACTGAAGAAAGTAAAGACAACACGATGAAAGTATTTTCTGATGATAGTTTTCTGCTCGTAAAAGACAACATAAAGGGCTCTTCTTCCCAAGAAGGTATTGCAGAGAAAGACATTCAGGACAGAGAAATGTGGAAAGATAAACAAGCAGAAAAAGGAAAGGATTCCGTTCACATGAACATGACTGAAGCATCAAGTGTTAAGACTGAGGACAAAGGTCAAAAGAATAAGATATTAGAAGGCTCCTCCTGCTTAAGTGAGAAAACGATGAAAAATAACTTGATTGATCCTCATGTAAAGATTAAAAAGGATACTGAGGCAATCTCTTTGAGAAACATTGCTTCTAATCAGCTTAACAAAAGAAAGAAGGAGGAGGGAAAAGGTAGTCATGACTCTCAGTGTGACTCCTCATTACATTCAGAAATAGCCTGTGACTCCAAACCAGGCATTACAGGAAGGAATCATATGCCTCATCTGCGTGCCCACTCTGAACCCTCCAAAGTCTCTCCTCCTCCTCCGAAGAAGTCTACGTCATATATGAATGAATTCAAAGAAAAACATTGTTCAAGTAATAATTTGGCTCCTATAGTTAAGCTCACTCAAATTTTGAGGAGAGCAAATGAAACGTCATCTGTACAGATTCTGCAGGAAGAAACTGAAGTTTGTCTAAATATTCTGCCATTGTTTGTTGAAGCTTTTGAAAGAAAACAAAAATGTTCATTTAAACAAATCTTGATTTTAAGAGACCTATTAGTAGAAGAAAACCTGTGGAGTAACTGCAGACACAGATTAAAACCATGTGCTGTTGATTCCTTGGTAGAACTCCAAATGATGATGGAAACTATTCAGTTCATTGAAAACAAAAAAAGGCTCCTAAGAGGTGAACAAACATTCCGGAGCTTGCTCTGGTATGATGAGACACTGTACAGTGAGCTACTTGGCAGACCACGTGGATTTCAGCAACAATCCAATTTCTATCCGGCTTTTCAAGGCAGATTAAAATATAATGCCTTCTCCGAGCTGCAAAACTATCATGATCAATTAATTGAACTGGCTGAAGAAAGCAAAAGGGAAAATAATTCATACTACACATACTTAAAATACAAGCGACAGATTGATGAGTGTGAAGCAGTAATGAAGCAGTGTTCAGATTGCTTTGACTTTTCTCTTTCTGTGCCATTTACCTGTGGAGTTAACTTTGGAGATAGTTTAGGAGACCTAGAAACCTTGAGGAAAAGCACATTAAGCCTGATCAGTATGTATGGGGACTGTCCCCAAAATGATTCCTGTCCAGGAAAACAAGACCATCTGTGGATTATCATGGAAATGATCTCCTCAAAAGTTAATTTTATCAAGAGTAATGAGGCAGTAAATATTAAAATAGCTCTTTATGGTCTGGAACATATCTTTTTTGATGCTTCAAAAAGTCTTGTTTGGAAAGAAAAGAGACAGTCTTGCTGCAAAAAATACTCCGAACAGAACAAAGAAATGCTACTTAGAATGAATCAATGTGCTGTTTCTAAGTTGCAGAAGATATATGATACATTGTCCAAAGATTTAAGCAGTGAACAAATTTCCACTATTGGACTTGAGGAGGATTCAGTGATTGCGTCCAGAAAGTCAAATGCTGTAGTAAACAAAGCAATAATTAGTGTAGAAAACTCTAGGCTTAACGGTACTTTGCTTTCACATCCAGATATCTGTTGTGTTAGTGAAATATTGGATCAAGCTGAATTTGCAGATGTGAAAAAATTACAGGAACTCACTTTGAGATGTACCGATGACTTAGAAATTTTAAAAAAATGTTTTCAGTTCCTGCAAGAAGACAGCATAGATAGTATTTTTATCACCGAAGAAAATAGTTTGAACATGATGAAAAACTACAGCCATAAGGCAGTAATTTTAAAACCTGCAGCCGTTGAAACCTATATTGAAATCGTCATGCTCTCAGAAACAATTCAGTTTCTTAAAAACTCAGTGGCGAAGAAACTAGACAGGCAGCGGTTTCGAAGTCTGCTTTGGTTTGATTTGTCACTTCTCCCTGAACTGGTTCACTGCCAAGAAAAAATGACTTCTTTCTCATTTCTAAAAGGTAATCCAGCAGACTGTCTTGGGAAGGTGATAGAGACTGCTATTTCTGAGCTTAAGAAAGATCTGGATATTATCTACAAATACAATGAAGCTGTTAATGGCTCCTATGCTCTTCGTTTGCTGTCAAGAGAACTTGAAGAACTTTCAGAAATAAAAAAACTTATTGAGGAATCGAAGTATTCCGTTTCCACATACATCAACTTTGTGCCATGTATAGCATCCATAAATTATGGAAGCACTGTGACAGAATTAGAATACAACTACAGTCAGTTTTCCACACTGCTTGGAAGTATAACAGCCACCCCTCGGAAGGATTTAGGGAAAATGGTCCATATTGTGAAAATCATGAAAACGATTGAACATATGAAGATAATATGTGTTAAAAATGCTCAGTTAACCGTTTCCTTTATCCTATGCCAAATGCTGCACAACAGAAAGAAGACTTTGCAACCAAAGAGAAAGAAAAATGCGAATATTCATGTAAAACGTAGGAAGAGAATCAAAAAGTCCAGTACCTGTAGGAAGGTGCCTTTAGTTTCAGAGTACATAATTAAAAATGTTTCAAATTCCTCTAAAAAGCGACCTATCACTGTAGACACATGTGGAGACTCTGAGGAACAAGAGAAAAGTACTGCTGTTTCCAGTTGTAAAAAACAAAAGGTAATGAATGTTTTAAAGTGAGTTTTGTAAGTCTAAGAGAGCGAACTTGTTGAAGCAAACAAGTACGTAGTCTACAGATTTGTAAAAGTGGAGAATGCTTTAAATGTTGCCTTGCAAAATGAATTTACTAATTAAACAGTTGGATTAAACCATTCATATTATCTGTAAAATGATATGAATGGCTGTGTATAAGAGAGATACCTTAAATAAATGTCTACCTTTAAACTTACAAATTAATTATTTGTAATTAATAACCTTCCACTTCTTGGAAGGTTGTGAATTTTAATAATTGCTTAAGAGAGTCTGTATTATGAGTGAGCAAGTATTGAGCGAGTGACCAAGTGTTTATTGAATAGCTTCTGTACAACAAGGCTGTACTTAATGTTGTAAACATTAAAAATTGACAGTGAAGTCTGTGTTCTTGACCATTATCATCCACACAGAGAAACAGTAGCAATATTTGAAAATATTTATTTATGAAGGAGCTAGCAGTTGTCGTACATAAGTACATTTTGTTTAACAAATTTTATACAGCATTTATTAAATAGTTGGCAATGTTCTAATGATTGTACAAACATTAACTGTTTTTATTCTTCACAGAGTGCTTTTTTCATGTTTTTTCAATGATTTAAAGGGGAGAGATTCTAAATATAGTTATAAGTAGTAAGCCGCCAGGGTCTTAGGAAAAAAGTACTATTTTATAGAATAAGAAAGAAAAATCCACACTTGACAGACATTATGTACCGTGGGACTGGGTGACTGGCTTACTGAAAAGGATATAAAACACAGAGCAGGCTTCTTACTTGTTGTAACATGTGGGTAAAGAGAATGTTGCTAATTGCTTTTTTACAAAATTTTTCCAAATATTTTTCAAATATGGGAATTCAACAGAGTCACTAATTTTTGAAGGAGAGGATCATTAATGAAGATAATTTCAGATGGTGCATTTTTGATGATGACAGAACAAGCAATTGCAGATGTCTGGTAAATAATAAATATATTGTACTTTAAACCATCAACAATGTAGATTTTTGTATTTTTTAAACATAGGTTAGCATGAAACATGTCACAGAAATCAAAAGCGAAAAGTCAACATTCAAGCATGCAAGGTAGGAATTGTCATCAGCCCTGTTTGATGAAAAACTGAATACAATTGAGCATGTATTATGGAGCAAGACTTAAACATTTACTTATTACCTCTTTGGGGTTCTACATGTAACCTCAGGGACAAGAGTGTGCTAGGGAGAGGGGAGGGTGTTTCAGTGCCTTAGTTTGAATTTCATTATGTATCAAAAGGGATGTCCTGTGAAAGATATTTTTACAGTGATTTAAAGGGTAAGGAGTGTCTCAGTACAGTTGAGAGTAACAAGTCAGCTAGGGCTTAGAAAAGAGTGATGTTTTACAGAATAAGAAAGNTGTCCTGTGAAAGATATTTTTACAGTGATTTAAAGGGTAAGGAGTGTCTCAGTACAGTTGAGAGTAACAAGTCAGCTAGGGCTTAGAAAAGAGTGATGTTTTACAGAATAAGAAAGTAAAAGTCATATTTGACAGACATTATTTAATAAATTAATGGGCCTTTGTAAAAAGGCTTAGTAAAAAGAAGATCATAATGGGGCAAGTGATCAAATTGAGTTTTTTGAACTTGTGAATTTCACAAGACCTGTCAGATTTCAAGACTGGTTTAAAAGATACAAATTGCCAAGTTATATTACTGAGAACTTAAGTCAAACATACACATAAGTATACTACTGTTCCATGAAAGGATTGTATTAACACCACAGTACAAAAAGAACATGACTTCAAAATGCTAGATCTTTAAATTCTTTCTTAATTAATTATTTTTAGTAAAAACCAACTGCATTATTTATATTTTTCTCATTTTGACATGAAGTAGCACCACTGGACTTGTTGACCATTTCTTGTTTCATTCAACTCTGTAAGATTTTCAATTTATGACAAGCTGCATTTTTACCATTTTTTTCCATCCTGTGAAGGAAAATGAGTAATAGGAATGAAAAAAGATAAGCATGTCATCTGTCTTGTTTGGTTTTGCTTCTCTAAATACAATCTTTTATTTACTCCATTTCTAGAATCCTCTACCTGGCACAGATGACTCTGTGAATAATCATGGAGTGGCATAAAGATGAATAGGCTATCAGAGGCTCTTCCCTGGTGGTCCAGTGGCTAAAGACCCTGTGCTCCTAATGCAGGGGGCGTGGGTTTGATTCCTGGTCAGGGAACTAGATCCCGCATGCCACATCTAAGACCTGGTGCAGCCAAGTAATTAATTTTAGAAAGATGAATAGGCTATCAGAAGGATAACAGAAACCAGTTCTGTAACCATCTCAGTTTTGTTACTAAGTGTAGGTAGGTACTTGCTATTCAGAGAATCAAATTCTGCCTCACTTGGCAGGGGAATGAATTCTAACATAAAGTTAATACAGGGTGTCATTGTTATAGAAGAACATTCTCTGAGAGTGTGCCATGGCGCATGGGTGGTTCAGTGATAGAAATTTTGCCTGCCGCGCGGGAGGCCCGGGTTCATTTCCCAGCCCGTGCAGCCACAGCATCCCCTTTACTTCTCTGTGGTTCAGCTGGTAAAGAATCCACCTGCAATGTGGGAGACCTGGGTTTGATCCCTGGGTTGGGAAGATCCCCTGGAGAAGGGAAAGGCTACCCACTCCAGTATTCTGGCCTGGAGAATCCCATGGACTGTATAATCCATAGGGTCACAAAGAATCGGACATGACTGACTGACTTTCACTACACCACTAAGGACAGGTCCTACAGACAACTGTCAATCTGTAAGATTGAGACATCACTGAAACATCACTGGGAATGTGATCAAATCAAAATTGCACTTTGTGGAAACTTTAAAATAATATATTGGATGACAATGCAGGTTGTCATTCGAGTTCCTCTTAAGGAGGCTGGACTAAGTAAAATAAGGGGCTTTTAGTTTCATGAGTGTGGTATACAAATTCCAGGCCAAAGATGAATTTGTCTTGACTGTGCAAGAATGGTCACCTTTATCTTTCAATGTGTTCTTTTCCACTTGTAATTCAAAGAATTGGTTGACACACCAAAAATTATAATTACCCTGGGGACCTATTTGAACTCGCTTGTTCTGGATGCTCCATAATGAATGCTTCCTTCAGACTTCATTGAGTCTGTCTCATTTAGATAGGCATGCCAAGGATGTTCAGTTGGCAAGAAATTTTGGAGGTCTGCTTCTCCTATTCTTGACCTTAAACAGACAAAGTACTCAGTCATTTGTGAAAACAGAAGATAATCTTTGAGCAGGGAGTCACAGCTGGTGATTTCACCAGCTCTGTATCAGTAGGCTGGAGGTATATGAATTAGAAACTACTGCAAAAAAATTAAAATCAGGAAATTTCCAAAGCATAAAATAATTTATTACAATATTGGCAGCACTGTATATTTTCAGATGTATTGGAAAAATATTTGAAATGTGGAATGTATCACTTTCAACACAAAAAGTAGCTATATTCAAATCAAGGGGGTAAAACCTGGGGAAATGTTTCTTGTATAGTGCCAATACAAAGAGAAATATGTAAATCTTAAGAATTCTTCTCCCAAGTAAAATTGTCAAATGTCTTTATATTGAAATTTTTTGACTGTATATTTAAAGTTGTTTGTATGTCTGTATTACACTTAACAGGACTATGAGATCTCACTCTGAAAGTGAAAATGAAATAGAACCAGATTCATCTGACAGTCTGAAAAGAAGCCACATCTCTCCTAAACAAGTTGAAACTCAAAGATCACTACCTTTAATGAACCTGAAAGACTCAGAAGACGAAACAGATTTAACTGATACTTCATTTGCTACTTCAGAAGGTTTCACCAGACAACAAGGGAACATAAGTAGCACAAAGAAAAGAAATATAAATTTTAGTGCTGCTGAAACAAAAAGTGAGAAGAAAAATTGTTCTTTGGCAATTTTTGACCAGAAAAGTGTAGATGGCACAGTTTCAAAAGACCAGGAGATGCCTCCACAGAAATTTCTTAAAAATCTTTCAGATACTACAGAGAAATCCTGTCCCTCAGACATAAAACCAGGAACTGATGCTTCTCTTTTGCTGAATGCATCAGAACCTATTTTCCGTTTTGTGAGTGATAGCCATGCCAATTTAGAAATGAATGACACTGACTTTGAACTTCAAGATAATGAAATATTAAATTCATCCATTAATTCTACATGCACCAGTTCTCCAGAACCCATGCATATCCAGAACAAAATTCCTGTTGTGCAAATAAATAAAGCACGACCTGCAAAGACTGAGTCAAAAGAAAAATACATGAAGGACACATTGAATTTCAATACTATACCTGTAGAAGCCTCTGAGAACATCACCCTTAGTGTGAATCAAACAGTAGAATACTCTTTGTCTGAACAGCAGAATTCAAAAGTCTTAACTCAGAATGCTGCCACATACTTGAATGAAATTCCACAGTCCATGTGTACCCCAGAGTATGACTTTGTTTCCGGGTACTCATTTGAAACTTCATATCCTTACTATTCTTGGTGTGTTTATCGTTACAGCAGCAGCAATGACAGTTCCATCACCCAGACATACCAAGGAATAACATCCTATGAAGTACAGCCACCTCCTTCTGGGATATTGACTGCAGCTACAAGTAATAGTCAGAATACCCATTCTCATCTTTTGTGCTCTCAATATTTTGAATACTTTGCTGGGGAACCACAAGCAAATGACTTTATGCCAGTGAGTGACTATTTTCCACCTCAAATGCCTGTTTATAATTTTCAGCAGCCAGTTTTTTCACAGTATACTCCCCATCAACTATTCACTGCATACCCTTGCTCTCCTGATTCTGGTGCACTTCTAGAAGTTCCTTGGACTTATGGTGAGTTTCACAAGCCTTAATGCTTGCTTTCTAGAGTTTTCACTTTATCTTTGTACATTTTTATAAGTGGAATTTACAGCAAGTGGTGCGATAACATTTTTCTGTGAAGGCTTGTAGAATTGTTTAAATATCAGGCAGTTGAATTATATTGTCAGTAGAAACCTAGTTATCAAAGACTGAGAGGAAAAAATAAGTAATGTCACTAATCTGTCCTTCAATAAAACCCAAATTCAAGGAATAATAGATAAGTCAATTATAGTTAATGAAATACAATGCAACCATTGAAGGGTTTATAAAAGTTTCTGGTAACAGTTTTCAAAACTGTATCATATAAATTTACTTATGTAAATAAATCATTAGAAATACTGAAATAAAATACACTAATAGTTTAACTTATCACACTGTGAGTGAAAAAATTTCGGGTTTGTGGAGAGTGTTCTTTATTTCCTAGGTTTCCTATTGTGAACATATATTTTTTGATAAATGGAGGGAAAAATAGAGTAAAAAGAAGGTAGAAAAGGGAACTTCAATCAGATAATATAGTATTCTAATATAATATCATGGTCTGAGTGAATGGAAGTTAATTGAAGTGTGTTGGTAGAGCAACTTGGTAGATTGCCACTGGAACTTGAAAAAATTTTTTCTGAAACAATTCTGCTTGTAGAATATAGTTTTTAATTAAAATGAAAGGCATATTTATCACAGTTAAAGCAAAATTTGAAAACAATTATTAATAATTCTGCAAAAACTACAGTTATCCATTAACACGCAGGTATTCTACCATCAGAGGTAAAATTACTGTTATGTAAAGTTAATCATCTCTTAATGTCTTAAACGGGGAAATAAAAGATTTTCTTTTAAATTGAAAAGTTGTTTCTCAAGGAAAATCATAGTTTTGTAAGTTGTTGTGTGTGTCTTCAGATATAGGTGAAAAATACCACTTGCAAATTAAGCCAAAAGCTAGTTTTGAAGCTTTGATTTGACTTTTTGCCTCTACTTGGTATTAACTGCAATATAAAAGAAGGAAGAAAATATATTAAAACCATCAAGGGTTTGTATTCATTAAAATAGAGAGTTCAGTAAACATGTTGAAAGACTTCTCTGGTGGTCTAATGGTTAAGACTCTGCCTTCCAGTGCAGGGGGTGTGGGTTTGATCCCTGGTCAGGAAATTAAGGTCCCACATGCCATGGTGTGTGGCTAAAAATTTAAATAAATAAATTGCTGAATTGTGGTTTTTTTTTTTAATTCTTTCTTAATCCTGGGATCTCTTACAAACTAAAGGAGAAAATTTTATTGAATTGATTATCATTCATTTGTCTGAATAGGGCAAGTTAGGGTAGTTCTGTTTCCAATTAGGAAACCTCATCACAGCAGCACCTGTATATTGGAGTTGCCACCAGTGCCCTGTAACCTATAGGACAAAACTCAAATAGGTTAGCTTGGAATGCAGGGCCCTTCACAGCCCTGCACACACAGCCTCGTTTCCCATCACTTCCACCTCTGTATTCAGACCACATTGAACTTCTTACTGTTCTCTCATGTGACAGCTCCTCTTGTATTTCCATGGTCCTTCTTGTGTGCATTTCTCACACAAAGAAAGTGTTACGTGGTGGTGTGATTATCTATGTATCCTTTCCTTCCCATCCTACTCCACCAAGTAAGTTTAAACAGGATTGGAAAGTTTTCACCTAAATCATAGCCTGGAAAAAAGACTATAAAGGAGGAGAGAAAGAAGTGGGGGGTTGGGGGGGCGGCATATGACTGTGCTTTTTTCTTTTTGCTCAGTTTGATACATTGCTGTTGCTGCTTTAATGATAAACAGTGTAGTAGACGTGGCAAACCTATGAATTAAAGAAGACATTTGAAGTTTCAGAATAGGAAATCTTTAATGTAATTGCTCCATAAAGGTTTTCATAGTTTGAACTTTATTGTGTTCTTAATAATTATTTGTGATGCTAAAAAAGCTATCTCTGGAATCAAATCCAGCTTTGCTTCTCAAAATTTTTAATTGTTATCATTTTGACTTGTTCATTTGCTAAAGTCATGTCCAACTCTTTGTGACCCCATGGACTGTAGCCTTCCAGATTCCTCTATCCTCCACTATCTCTGGAGTTGGCTCAAATTCATGTCCGTTGCATAGGTGATGCTGTCTAAGCATCTCATCCTCTGTCATCCCCTTCTTCTCCTGCCCTCAATCTTTCCCAGCACTGGGGTCTTTTCCAATGAGTTGGCTCTTCCCATTAGGTGGCCAAAGTATTGGAGCTTCAGCAACAGTCCTTCCGATGAATGTTCAGAGTTGATTTCCTTTTGGTTATATTTGGTTATCTTATTATTATATTTGGTTACATGTTTCCTTTGGTTATATTATAGCTCAGCTGGTAAAGAATCCGCCTGCAATGCAGGAGACCCCAGTTTGATTCCTGGGTCAGGAAGATCTGCTGCAGAAGGGATAGGCTACCACCTCCAGTTTTCTTGGGCTTCCCTCGTGGCTCAGCTGGTAAAGAATCTGCCTGCAATGCAGGAGACCTGGGTTTGATCCCCGGGTTGAGAAGATCTCCTGGAGAAGGGAAAGGCTACCCACTCCAGTATTCTAGCCTAGAGAACTCTATGGACTATATATATAGTTCATGGGGTCGCAGAGTCAGACACGACTGAGCAACTTTCACTTCACTTATATTATTGTAGTGAAAATAAAAGGAAAAGAAACAATTGCCTACTTATTATAAATACGTACCTGTGTGTGCACTCAGTCATGTCCAACTCTCCATGACCCCATGGACTGTAGCCCACCAGGCTCCTCTGTCGATGGGATTTCCCAGGCAAGAATGCTGGAGTGGGCTGCCATGCTCTACTCCAAGGGGTCTTCCTGACCCAGAGATCGAACCTGCGTCTCTTGCTTTTCCCTCATTGGCAGGCAGATTCTTTACCTCTGTGCCACCAGGGAAGCACTTATTATCATATCAAAAAGTAACTCTAAAACAGTGAGAAGACCGTAAGCACATCTTTTGGAGAAGGCAATGGCACCCCACTCCAGTACTCTTGCCTGGAAACTCCCATGGATGGAGGAGCCTGGTAGACTGCAGTCCATGGGGTCACGAAGAGTCGGACACGACTGAGCGACTTCACTTTCACTTTTCACTTTCACGCATTGAAGAAGGAAATGGCAACCCACTCCAGTGTTCTTGCCTGGAGAGTCCCAGGGGCGGAGGAGCCTGGTGGGCTGCCGTCTATGGGGTCGCACAGAATTGGACACGACTGAAGTGACTTAGCAGCAGCAAGCACATCTTTTAGTTTTTGTGAGTGAAAATAATCCATAGAGATCGCATCACATTGAAGACAAACCACATCCTTCTGAAGATGTGAGAAGCCCTGTGACCCACTTCCCTGATGTTGCTCTTGCTGCTTGTCCGTAGCACCATAGTGGATCCAAAGAGAGAGCTGAGAGAGCCCTGTGTGTGAGACGAGTTACGTCCTTTATTCCACTTAATTCTCACAGGATACATGAGAGAGATACAGGGATGTCACTGCCCTTTTACAGATGAGGAAGCTACTCTTTGGAGAGGATTAAATATTGTAATTTTGTCAGGATCCCATGGCTAGTGAAGGGCAGATGTGCAGTCTGAACTCTGGTTTCTTTGCCTCTAACTTAACTGGATTCTTTCCACTCTCCTATTAAACATACCATCCGTCTGCATCATTAACTCATCTCAAATCCTCATGCTTTTTTTCTTCCAGATCCTTGCCATCAAGAACCCTTTCAGCCAGGACATTGAGAATTGTCATCTGTCTACTGAAAGAAATAAAGGGGGTTTAACAAGTTTTATCCAAGTATTTTTTTACTTATGTATTTTTTATTTTTAACATTTAAAAATATGTCAATTAGTAAGAAATTATAAATGTTACAACTTTGATAAAACATTTAAATGCAACAGTATATCATATAGCAATAGGAAGTCAACTTCTGACATCTAAAATGCCAAAATAATTTCCATGCATTTATTTTTGTGAACTCCGTACTAGGCTATTTTCAGTACGCACCTAACCTTCAGAACCAATAACAATATTGTAAAATTTATTTTTTGAAATGTTGCTGTTGGAGTTGTTACAATTATATAAAGATTCTCTTTGGGATTATTCTAATGGAATAAGGAAAGTAAATGTAACATTTAATATGATTAAGGGTAAACAGTAGTAATTCTTGAAAACAAGTTTTTTGTCTCCGATATTTTTTGATACAAATTTATGGTAGTGTTGTGCCATCCGACTTAAGGATTTTTTTTTTTTACTTAGATCGGTCATTAGACTAATAATTTTATAATTTTTGAAACTTTATATAATTTACCAGTCTGTGTCTAATATGACAAATACCTTTAATTTCAATATTTTCTAATTTTAACTGGCAAAGTGTATTTTAACAGAGAACTAGTTTTGCATATTTTCAATGTTTGTCCTTGAGTAGAGACTTTAAAAATTTCTATGTTTGAAGCAGTTTTAGATTATGATATTGAAATTTAAAGCACATTAACACCTTTTTCCAGAAGAGCCCTTTCTACCAGATTCTTTTTTATTTGTATTTTACAATTGAAATGGCTCTTCTAGTGACTTTATAGCAAATAATGGGAATAATGTCTTTAGCTTGTGGCATTAGTTGAGTTATATTTCAGTAGTTAAATAATGCAACACAAATACAAGTTTTTTAATGGTGTGATCAAAGATTTTTTTTCCTTTTCAACATTCCACCAAAGTAAAAAGTATCTGAGTAATAATCATTGTTAAACAACAGGGCTTAGTGTGTTCAGCAAGTGCTCTGCCAACCAACAACCATTCCCTGTTTCTGTAAGATCCAAATCTGAAAGATCCCTCACAACTGAATATACTTTGCCGAGTCTGAAAGTCAAAGTGTTAGTCGCCCAGTTGCATCCTACCAGGCTACTGTCTGGAATTCACCAGGCAAGAATACTTGCAGTGGGTAGCCATTCAATTCTCCAGGGGCTCTTCCCCACCCAGGGATCAAACCCAGGTCTCCCACATTGTGGGCAGATTCTTTATGATCTGAGCCACCAGGGAAGCCCCTTCCCAAGTCTAGTGGGCCCTGAAATGTGGTAAAGAGATTCGCATTGGCTAAATCTAAATAACTAGCAAAGCTAAAGTATTTTTGCAACTTTTTTTTTCCCGCAACCTTTTTATTTTAGCTGACTTTTTATGTTATCTAGCATAGGTATCCAAAGAGAGTTTGATTCAGTCAAATTTATTGTAGAGTAGCTAATTTTTCAATTTAGAAAAACACTAAGATCTTCCAGGGTAAGTCTTATAGTCACATTAACCAAATAAGGTGGAATTCAGAGTATTTTAGGGTTCTTCTTTAACAAATAGATTTTAAAAGGGGAAAGTCAAGCAAAGAACTGCAACTGAAACAGGAATTAGAAAAATACTCTAGAATTAAAGCAGTACAAAAATAACATAAATGTTTTGCCCAGATAATTATTTGGGAGAATTATTTGTTTAATGTTTGGTTAGAGAAAGATGTTGCAGATTTATTACTAAAATTTTTTTCTGTTAGGTTAATCAAAAATTCAGTATTCTGATTAAAGATGCTTTCTTTAAACAACTTGCAGATTTTGCTGAATACTGGCTTTGTGATATTTTTATTTCGTGAGTTTTAATTTCTTGCAAAAAGGGTAATAAAAAAAACCTTATAAATATTGAGTTACATTTTAAAACCTGCACTTTGAAACAGAACATGAAAAAATAGAGCATTTTTTCCCCTAAGTTTGTGTTTTGGCTCTAAAAATAGAAACAAAACAAATTAAAATTTGAGCAAGCATTATTAACAAAAAACTGCTTATCTATAAATATTATTGTCTTGGAACTTGAAGAATTATATGAATAAACTGAATTCCTTCTAGTCCTTCTATTTTCATGGTTTTTTTTTTTAACCTTTTGTGTTTCTTGACTAATATGGAAACATATGGATGGTCTTTGGTTTGTACATACGCTCATTACAAGAAAAAGAGCCCACAGATTGCTGACCGAAGTAGATTAAATAAGCTGTTGGGCATCCTTCTACTCCAGCTGCTTCTGCCTTCACCTCCTCCTTCCCTTTCCCGACTCTGACAAACTTCCTGCCCAAAGTTCACAGGACCAGCCCAGGTCCCTGCCCTCATGCCATTCTCACGCCAGTCAAGACAGCCAAGTATCAATAAATATGTAAGTAATTTATTTCACATTGTGAGAATTGACACATAAAGAATAAAATATTGCAGTAGAGCATGACTGGATGACCTGTGAGCTGAGATGTTCAGGGGGGCCTCTTTGATGAGGTAATCAAATTAACTTCATGTTCATATATTTTAATTCTGTCACTGTACCTTCTGTTAATACACCTAGGGTAAAAGTGCTTCCAAAACTCGAATTCTGAATCCAGCCAAATGTAAGGATATACTTCATTTCTCTGATGAGAGAATTCCTCAAAAAAATTTTTTGGTAAACTTAAATATATAAACTTTTAGAGATATGTATGTTTAAATGTCAATTGTGTGTGATATTAAAATGCATTAACTCATAAGCAGATGTATTCAGAGTCGTCTTATGCATATTTGGGACTTCCCTGGTGGCTGAGACAGTAAAGCGCCTGCCTACAATGTGGGAGACCCGGATTCAATCTCTGGGTTGGGAAGATCTGCTGGAGGAGGAGATGGCAACCCACTCCAGTATTCTTGCCTAGAAAATCCCATGGACAGAGGAGCCTGGTAGGCTACAGTCCACGGGGTCACAAAGAGTCGGAAACAACTGAGCAACTTCACTTTTACTTTCACTTTTTATGCACATTTGACATCATCAGATCCGTTTGGAGCCCTATGACAAAGCTTTCCAAAGCATATCATCCTCACTTCTAAATTCTTTGAGATACATGCTTTTTAAACCTGGGTATATATCTAAAATTGCTTTTGGTTGAAGTCATTTCAAGTTAATTTCCTTCCCAAAGACCTTCCTTAAAGTAATGGTTGAAGTCTTCAAAATAAAGTAAGCCTCCATATTATTCTCAATGGGAGTAATTTTAGGAGAAAAATTGGCTTGCATTCAAGTATATGTGGTATTTTAAAGCTATTAAGTTTTTTTACAGGCATAGTTTGATTTCAGTTCTTAGCATATTGATACTGCTTGAGTAGCATGATTAACTCCCAGTTATCAATGCAGTTTGAAATAAAGCATTGTGGAGGAAGAAAATTAAATTACTTTTACAAGACAGGCATTCCTTAAATTAGATCTGATGGACACAGTTCTAAGAGGAGTGACTGCAGATTCTTAGCAGAGCTAATGAAGAGACACTGGGAAGTAAAGTGTTGATTAGTAATGCAATGTGGGAAGAAGATTTAAAAGAACTCATTAGATAGAGATTAAGATAGGAAAATTTTGTGATGATATAAATTTTACTCACACCTTGAAGTACTGTTGTCTGCTCTATTAGCATCATATTCCTCAATCTTTTAACCATTAAAGAATCTCTCTGGTATTTATAAGAAGTCTCTTTTCAAATACCCTGTGGAACCCTTAAAACACACTGCATTCCTACTTGTCACAGGGAACTGCATTTATCGTAGGATTTATAAGTCTATATTTAAGTCTATTTTCCTTGGTTAGGTAAGAATAATTTAGATCTATGACAGATTCATTTCTTTTTCTTAAATGTGAGAATCTATGTTTTGACCTGGTATAGTCAGTTGAGCATGTTTGGTTATTTGAAGGTTGTGTTCAGTCAGCAGTTATTGAACATCTGATTTGTGCTTAAAGTATGCTGTTCTGCTTGTGTGCATGCATCAACCAATCTTTATATCAGCCCCATAAAGGCAAATGTTATTCCCTTATTTTATAAATGAATTCATGCAGAAAGCCCTTCAAGATGTTTTGCCCCTCAAGTCATCTTTGTGAACATCAGTTAATAGTCTTCAGTATTGTTGGTTTGAAAAGTTATAAGACCTATCTCAATGTTACTTGTTTTCTAATTCCAGTCATCAGCTTGTTAACCTGATACATATAATCCCTTGAAATTTTTGAATACCTAGTGTGCAAAGAACAATACAGTAACTTGAGATTTTTCACACTTGATTAAGAAACAATTGCTCTATGTGCACACAAATCTAGTCCCTTGGCAAAGATCATTTTAGTTACATTGAGAAGTGAATTATTTTTCATATTGAGAGTTATGCTAAATCAAGTAACTAATAACTCCTAATCCACTGATTCCCAACCAAGGCGTTTACAACAGTATCTGAATATTAATGAAAACAATTTCCTCAAAACTGGCTGTGTTCCCACTTTGTCTCTTCAAACGTTATCCTGAAGATTATCCTCCAGTAAGCTTTGGTGAAAGGCAGACACTCTACTTTCCATCCCTCCCTCCTTGTTTTCAAATCTAACCCAAGATGGTTCACGTCTGTAACAGTTTCTTAAAGATACACCCACCCTCTTAACCTTTCTTACAGGTCAGTCAGAAAAATGTTTCAGATATGTCATCTATTGAAAAATGAACACAGAACCTGCTGAGTCAGCTAGGTTACTTTTGTGGTCTTCCACCAATTTTTGGTGGAATTTTTCAGGGCAAAATATTAGGACAGACTAAAGACTAATTTTATTGCCTGTCTTTCTGGGTTCTTGACCCAGGAACCTGCAATAATGAAAAAATTTTTTCTTACAGCCTCTACTGGTATCCATCAAATGACAAGGTAAAAACAATCTCTTAATGAATGATACTTCATCATGAATGTTTCTTTTGGATCAAACCCTCCCAGCACATCAGTGTGTTCACCAACTTGGAAGCTCCACAGAGATTGAGTGGCCGGAGATTTTGTTGGAATTTAATTACATGAACATGTGTAATTACATCCTTGGTCACACAGATGAGTTGAGTCCCCAGGCCTATGCCCTGAGGTCAGGCTGGCCCACAGTTGGCTGGCTTGACATGGCGTTGATCTTCCTGGTGACCAGCCCCCACCCTGAGTCACCTCATCGGTGTAACAGATAATCCCCTCACTCCAAATATGAAGGATTTTGGCCACTCTGTGCCAGGTGGTGGTGTAGTTGCTAAGTCTAGTCTGACTTGTGTGACCCCACAGACTGTTGCCTGCCAGGTTCCTCTGTGCATAGAATTTTCCAGGTCAGAATACTGAAGTGGGTTCCAGTAACCAGAGACAAAGGTCAGATATATTCTTTATTATAGCATTGCTGCTTATAAAAAACATAAATGGAGAGATGAACCTTGAATATTGGACAGAGATTGACCAGTTGCCTTGCAGAAAAGAAAACTTATAATAATACTAATAAAGTTACATTAAGGAAAAATTTCAGAGCAATAATTTATAAAGTTAATATTGCTATGAATATATAATATGTAAATATATTATACAGAATACACAATATCAAAGTGTAGTTCAAAATTGGAAAAAAATTGCAAAATTTTAGAAATTCAGAAATGGACAAATAGGATTATTATGGGAGATTTTTCACCTTATTGACCTGTGACAGTAGATTGAGTAAAGCCATAGAAAAAATGACAATATATACAAATAGGCTCAGAGGCACTTTTGTCATTCTAGCATTTCAGCGTTATGATCAATGGGCTCATGTGCAAAAACATGGAGCAGTTTCAGGTGATTTAATCTCAATGTCTGTTGACTCATAGATTATTGCTGGATACTCCTCTCAAATGTTCTCCATGTTTTGTTTTATGTATCTCCCCAGAAACAGCTGTCAGAATCTCAAGCGATACATTAAGTGAAATATTTCACTTCTGCCTGTACTTAATGTATTTCCTGTTTTTAATTCTCAGCCACAGTATCTTGCTGTATGGTGCTCACAGTTGGAAACAGAATCACATGTTACTGTCCTCCCCTTTGGTTATCATTTTTTGGTTATTTGTATCCATGTTGCTTTTGGTCACTCCTGAGGTCTTTCTGGTTTCCAGTTTCCAGTAACTCTTAGCCTTCAGATCTTAATTTTCAAAGTGAACCTCAAGCCTAATTTTTATTTATTTTTTTATTTTTTCAAGCCTAATTTTTAAACAACAATTTTATTATTTTTAAGTTAATAGTAACCATTTAGTTTTGACATTTACTTCCTACCTTGCCAGTCCATTTTAGCTTTTATAAATGTAGCAGGATGTTTCCTAATTACTCACTGGATTTTGGCATCTTCATTTCCTTGAGAGGTCAGGTGAGAACACCTGTGTGTTTGTGGTACTCTATTCTTTACCTACCCACAGCCATTATTCTTAGTCATAAATGGGTTCTTTTCTGGATCTTACTGAGATTTTTAATTTTTTTCAAAATTTAAAATTTAAGTTATTTCATAGTTATAAAATGACTTTGTACTCATTGTAAAAATTTCACCAATACAGTAGAGAATTCCAATACAGTAGAGAATAAAAATCTGACAAAACCTCTGCATCTCTCCCAAGAAATAGCACCTATTCCTATTTAGAGAAATATCCTTTTAGTCATTTTCTCTGTGGCATATTTGTATGTCATATATAGCACGGAATGAGACCGTGCTATTTGGGCAGTCTCTTTTTCACCATTTAATATAACGTAGAGACCTTTTAATAGAAATACATACAAGTCAATTTATATTTTGATACCCATCTGGAATTCCAACAAATGTATTCCTTGGCTGTTAACCAAACCCTGATTTCAGATACTGGAAGGAGAGCTCTTGAAATTAAGGGGTGATTTATCCTTGCTTCAGACCTAGGGAATTATTAGTGAATGAATAATACAGTCATAGTAATCTAGTTTTAGAAAAAAAATGAAAAAAGCAGAAACGTGAATTAAAAATACACAGATACCATTTCTCACCTGTCATATTGGTTCTGGTTCAAAGCTGGACTATGTTCTCTGTTGGAAAAGCTGTGGGGGAACAGGCCCTCTTCATACTGCCTGTGGGAATGTATAAACAGGTACAACATCTAAGGACAGTTTTCAATATCTAATGAAACTACATATGCCTTTAATCTCTGACCCAGTAACCCTACTTCCAGGGATTTGCCCTGATGATAACTCTCCACTAATGTAAAAATATAAGTGTATTACTTGTAACTGGAAGATCTTGGAAATGATCGAAATGCCCAAACAAGACATTGATTGAGGAAACTGTTACACACACCAATGGAAGACCATGAATTTGTAAACAGAAAATGAACAATCCATAGGAACCATTAAGGAGTGTTTTCTGTGAAATATTTAATATTTTTGACACAAAAGAATACATAAAATGTATTACCTGTTGCATAAGAGGAGATACATGCATATTTTTGCATAAAAGAACACAGTGAAAATGGAAAACAGTGAAGTTGATTACTACAAAGACTAAAGGAGAAGAGAGTGAAAGGGGTACAAGAAAAACGTTTTCTGAATTCACCTTTTAGTATAAACTTTACTTTGAGAAGTTCCTGTAATGCTCTATGGACCAAAAAGAAAATTAATAAGAATGGGAGTAAAACTATATGCAAGCAGAAACAAATTAGCCATTAAATGACTCCTATAACCACACTGAAATGAAGAGTGGGGAGAGACCAAACTAATGTAAGTGGAACCACAGCCCTTGGGCCATAAACCCTCATTCTAAGGGATTTGATTGAATCAAAGATGTCATTGGTTGTAGGGTGGGACTCAATTTCAGAGGTGTTAAGTTGTGAGAAAATGGAATCTTACATGGAAAAATGAAAATTAGAATTCAATCAATAATCCAGATAATTCAAGGGTATCCAAACAGGACTTCCCTGGTGGTCTAGTGGTTGACTCTGTGGACCCCTAGTCGGGGAACTAAGATCCCACCTATCAAGTGGCCAAAGGCAGTAAAATTTTTTAAAAAGTATCAGAATAGGAATGCAGGGGACTTCAGAATGCAAGGGATTTCAGAAATCTCTTGCATTACTATACACTAACAATGAGAAGACACAAAGAAATTAAGGAAACCCACTCACCATTGCAACAAAAAGAATAAAATACTTAGGAATAAATATACCTAAAGAAACAAAAGACCTATGTATAGAAAACTATAAAACACTGATGAAAGAAATCAAAGAGGACACAAATAGATGGAGAAATATACTGTGTCCATGGATCAGAAGAATCAATATAGTGAAAATTAGTATGCTACCCCAAAGCAATCTATAGATTCAATGCAATCCCTATCAAGCTACCAATGGTATTTTTCAGAGAACTAGAACAAATAATTTCACAATTTGTATAGAAATACAAAAAAAATCTCAAATAGCCAAAGCAATCTTGAGAAAGAAGAATGGAACTTGAGGAATCAACCTGCCTGACTATACCACAAAGCTACAGTCATTAAGACAGTATGTTATTGGCACAAAGACAGAACGATAGACCAATGGAACAAAATAGAAAGGCCAAAGATAAATCCACGCACCTATGGAAACCTTATCTTTGACAAAGGAGGCAAGAATATACAATGGAGAAAAGACAATCTCTCTAACAAATGGTGCTGAAAAACTGGTCAACCACTTGTGAAAAAATGAAACTAGAACACTTTCTAACACCATATACAAAAATAAAATGGATTAAAGATCTAAATGTAAGACCAGAAACTATAAAACTCCTAGAGGAGAACATAGGCAAAACACTCTCCGACATAAATCACAGCAGGATCCTCTATGACCCACATCCCAGAATTTTAGAAATAAAAGCAAAAATAAACAAATGGGACCTAATGAAACTTAAAAGCTTTTGCACAACAAAGGAAACTATAAGCAAGGTGAAAAGACAGCCCTCAGATTGGGAGAAAATAATAGCAAACGAAGCAACAGACAAAGGATTAATCTCAAAAATATACAAGCAACTCCTCCAGCTCAACTCCAGAAAAATAAATGACCCAATCAAAAAATGGGCCAAAGAACTAAACAGACATTTCTCCAAGGAAGACATACAGATGGCTAACAAACACATGAAAAGATGCTCAACATCACTCATTATCAGAGAAATGCAAATCAAAACCACAATGAGGTACCATTACACGCCAGTCAGGATGGCTGCTATCCAAAAGTCTACAAGCAATAAATGCTGGAGAGGGTGTGGAGAAAAGGGAACCCTCTTACACTGTTGGTGGGAATGCAAACTAGTCCAGCCACTATGGAGAACAGTGTGGAGATTCCTTAAAAAACTGAAAATAGAACTGCATACAACCCAGCAATCCCACTCCTGGGCATACACACCGAGGAAACCAGAATTGAAAGATACACGTGTACCCCAATGTTCATCGCAGCACTGTTTACAATAGCCAGCACGTGGAAGCAACCTAGATGCCTATCTGTAGATGAATGGATAAGAAAGCTGAGGTACATATACACAATGGAATATTACTCAGCTATCAAAAAGAGTGCATTTGAATTAGTTCTAATGAGGTGGATGAAAGTGGAGCCTATTATACAGAGTGAAGTAAGTTAGAAAGAAAAACACCAATACAGTATATTAATGCATATATATGAAATTTAGAAAGATGGAATGATGACCCTATATGCAAGACAGCAAAAGAGATACAGATGTAAAGAACAGACTTTTGGACTCTGTGGGAGAAGGCAAGGGTGGGATGATTTGAGAGAATAGCATTGAAACATGTATATTATCATATGTGAAACAGATCACCAGTCCAGACTCGATGCATGAGACAGAGAGCTCAGGGCTGGTGCACTGGGGTGACCCTGAGGGATGGGATGGGGAGGGAGGCGGGAGGGGGGTTCAGGATGGGGACACATGTACACCCATGGCTGATTCATGTCAGTGTGTGGCAAAAACCACTACAATATTGTAAAGTAATTAGCCTCCAATTAAAATAAATAAATTAATTTTTTTAAGTATCAAAATAAATGCCAAGAAGCACTTGTCAGGGTAAGGGCTCTTCTGATATTTATGATAAGTAATATAGAAAAGTATGTGTGTGTTAGGGGGAATAGTAGATTAATGTTTAAACAGTACAGAGATTCTGTTTGGGATGATGAAAAAGCCTTGAAATGATTGTCGTGAGGGTTGCTCAACACTGTGAGTGTTCCTAATGCTATTGAATTATATGCTTAAAAAGGGTTAAAATGGTAAATATATTTTACCACAATTCAAGTTGCCCCAAAAAATTTATTGTAAGGAAATTTTAGTAGAAAATTTAGAGTAAACCCTGTTTGTCATTTATACATGTATATAAAATACATAATAAGATACCCATGTAATCTTGAGGCAGAGGAGACATTTTAAATTTCCTTAAAAGTTATTGATGGGACTGGTGGCAGAGCATAACAGACCATGGCTCTGGCTACCCGGTTTCATTTCCCAGCTCCAAATGTTTGGGCTCAGGCCCCTCACTTATTTTCTCTACCTCAGTACCCTCATTTAATTAATTGAAACTATAATGATAGCACCTACTTCATAAGGTTGTAGTGACACAACTAAATGAGGTAACAATCTAAGAAGTTAGAATACCGCCTGGCATAATAAATACTCTTATTATGAATGGCAAGACTCCTACAAACAAACATAAAATCCAAGTAACACACTGAGTGAAATATTGAAACAAGTATGTCAAATAGCCTAGAAGTCCATAATAAGGATTTGAAAAAGCCAGTGAACACTCAATTCACATACACAGTATAGATGTCCAAAAAATATGAAAAAAAATCATTAATTTTTCATCTATTTATTTAGTCAATGCTAAAAATCAGTAGTATCTGAATGTATCATTCAGGCTTGTGTTTAGACGTCAGTAACAAAATCCCCAAACGTGGCTTCAATGAATTATGAGTTTTCTTTTTTACTCATTTCTGAAGCATCATCCTCACAAACTCAGCTCTCTACTCCCAGCTTTAAGAGCATTCTCTCACATTAATTTCAAATCCATTTGCGTGTATGTCAAAGACCTCCCTCCCTAAACAAAATCTGTCCTTTCCATTTCTCCTCAAGGTATATTTTTTGTTCTCAACCCATCTTCGCTAGGAACTCCAAAAATACCATTCTTACTCTCATTTTCATTCTGAGCTTGCCAGGTTTAGCTGAAACTCAACCTCCTTTCAACCTTTATAGACGAAACTCCTCGGAGACCACAAATCTCCTGAGTCATGCAGGTATCCCATTTGTTCAGTACTGTTTTGCCCTCTTTTCACATTCTGTCCTTCAACTGCTTTGCTGCTATTTACAAGGCACTTGAGAACAGGAGCTTTCCAGCCATATTTCCCACCATATGACTGACCTCTGATGCTAGGAGTATTTATAGCTTACCAAACAAACCTTAGTCTTTCACACATTTGTCCTCTGCCACCGTCCTAAAAACAAATCCGTATGATCACTTTCCTCTTCTCCAGGCAACTTCAAGGTTTTGCCCCGGGGAGAGCAGCTTTCGGTAGCTGTTGCCTAGTAGGGATAGTAAGGCAAGGAACATGCGTTCCATTCTGTATTATTGGGTAAGCTCTTGTAGAACTTAATCTTCACAACTTGAAAAGGCAGGCCTTACCGCAACCTTGTAACAAATGAGGACTCAGCCTCGGGGCAATCTGGGCACTGTCCAAGGACACAGCGAGGAGATTGGCAATGCCAAGGAGGGGCCCTTTCCTTCTGATAAAGGATGCTGCATGCCGCCACTTGTCTAGTAGAGGAAGTCTGCTTGCTGACCACCTGCTCTCCAGGGTATCTCGCAGGTAGCAGTTGCTCGATGAACATTTGCTGAGTGAACAAATCATTAGAACTCAGTCAACACTGCATAAATGTGGTGCAGAATGCTGGAGCTGGAAGGGACACTGATAACCACAGAGTAATCGACTCGTTTTTCTGAGGAATCCTCCCAAAAGGGAGGATTCGAAATGTCGGTGCCCTACAGCTGGTTAATGACAGAACTAAGACACGGAAGAATTTAGGTATGTATCTGTTTAATAGATAATGAACGCCTGCTATGGGAGAGTGCTAGACTCTGGGGAGACTATGTGGTCAAGGAGAAGCACAAGCTTCCCAATTTCCTCTCCAGAGCGCTAAAAAATAGCTGGGCAATGTTCACACGCTCGCAGGGAAACCTGCCGGAGAAGTGAGCGAGTCGCAAAGAGGTGGCGCCCTAGGAACGCGCGCGGGCCGAGAGAGGGCGGGGGCGCGCGGGGGGCGGGGGCCGCCATGGACGACAAGGCGTTCACTAAGGACCTGGACCAGTGGGTCGAGCAGCTGAACGAGTGTAAACAGCTCAACGAGAACCAAGTCCGGACGCTGTGTGAAAAGGTGAGCGAGAACAGGGGCGAGGTGCGGCCGGGGAGCCTCGGCTAGGTGGGTGGGTGGGTGAGGGGTGCGGGGACCCCTCCAGGGCCGCCCGCCTGCCCTCACCCCGACACCAGGTCCAGGCACCGGCATCAGCCCCTGGGCGGGGCCGGGCCTTTCCAGGACCCCTCTCGGGACACAGCCCTGGATTAGGCCCGGACCTCCCCCCGCCCCGGATCCAGACCTAAGGCGTCCGGGATGGGTGGGCGGGGGCTCGGCGGCACCTGGAATTCATCACTCGAGTGTGATTGTGTGACCGTCGCCCTAGTGAGGATTGCTGACAACCCCAGCATTAACCCGGGCGAACTGGCAATCCCGAAGCTTCAGCCGCCAGGCAGATTAATCTCCTGCAGCCTCGTAATGGAAAATGCACCGAGATGAGCCTGGGTGTTGTGAATTATCAACGCGCGTAATAAACAGAGGCTTTTTCTCAGGTGACTCGGCCCTTCAAACATCTCTAATACTTGGTAATGCGTCAGGCATTTGTTTGTTAAGAGGTGGGTGGAATGGCAGACTGTGATTTTTTAAAATAGAAGTTGACTCTAGTTGAGACAGATGGTGGCTGGTCTTCACGTTGAGAGGCTCTTTGGAAGCAAAAATGTTTGATTTTTCAGAAACAAGACAGCAAGTCTTAAGTTTGGCAACAGTGCTTACCTGAAATGATAAGTGGGGTCTGTGTTTCTCCTGCAGAGTAGCACTTTTCAGAAGGTTATTTCTGTTTCTGTTACATGGAAGGTTTTTTTCATTTCCAAAAAGTAATAAAATATGCAGATGGTTTACTGTTTTCAGTCGCTCTTGATTGTTTGATCCTAGACAATCTTCTGATTGTTTGATCCTAGACAATCTTCTGAATTCTGTATCCATTTTATCTTAATCATTGGAATTATTTTGGACTTCGCGTTTTTTCTCATTCATCTTTTATAGGCTAGACTATTTTTATGTACAAAGGTCTCATATGAAGGAGTAACAAAATGATTTATTCTTTAATGCTTTTTAATTGTTATGTATTTTTAAGCCATAATCCCTAAGACTTTCTTGATTTTGTTTGGAAGGCAGGATGCCTCAGAAAGGCATTGGAGGTAAGATTTTGTTAATATTATTTATAGAGTACCGTTAAAATTAAATGTTTTAGAAATGGAAGAGTTAATACTAAGTTGAAAATAGTGTTTTGTGTTTTAAATTAAGTGTAACGTTGTTTAGGGTCTTTATGTATTAACTCTTTTTTTTCGAAGTACAGTGTTGCATTTAAGTGTTCAACAAACTTATTCAGCTATAAACATACAATATTTTTTTTCAGGTTTTTCATTATAGGTTATTATAACTATTTATTGATACAGGAGGGTATATTTCTGTAAATAGAACTGCTAAACAAGTGGTATTTTTGTGTTTCTGAGACAAATTGCTTATGGACCGCTTCAAGTTCTGTCTACATTCAATTTTCTTGTGTGATAACGTGTAATTTCATGTCTTGAAATTTATGTTTTAAATCACTGTCTCTCTCTCAGGCTCTAGTGTCAGGTGAAATACCCAGTTCTGAAATTAGCTGAGTCAGTTAACCTCACTGTGAACAGTAGACATAGACTTTAAGTGGTGGGCAAAGTTGGTAGTTAAATCAGTTTTTCCCTCTGACTGTCTAATAATTTTAAGATGTCTTTCTGGAGAAGAATGTTGCACCCCTCCTCGATCACACTTGATCCTTAATCACCTGAGCAAGCTTTCTGAATTTGTCCAGAGAGATTATTTTGACTGAAAAAAAAAAAAAGAAAAGAAAAATAAATAAATAAATTGGACTGCCAATCCCTAGGATCTTTGAGGTATATTTAAGCTTATATCTTACCCACTTTTTTCTTTGAATATTTGTACTCTTCCACCAAGCATGAATTTTTAAGTGGCAGTCCTCTGTCATTTATCTTTATCCTCCACTTTTGACGGGGATGTGGAGGGCTGGAGAAGAGTGCCCCCCCTTCTCTGCAGTGCTTAATGTGGAGCCCCTTTCCAGCAGCTGTGGCAGACCTTTGTGGGGTTGATTTTCTGTCATCTAACCTTAAGAGTTCCATCTTACTTCCCTACCTCTGCCCTCCTTTTTCCTGCTGAGTGCAGCATTTGTTTATAATGAACTCTCTCTCGGGGCCAGCCTGCGTTCAGGCCCTGGTTCCACAGCTTGATGGCTGCCCAGCCCTGCCCCTCCTACCCCTTATCGCTGAGGCTGGGGTGATCGCTGACCTCCTGGGGCAGTTGTATTAAGACTCCACTGGGGTGAAGTCCTAACAAGAAATTTGCAGTAGATAGTAAATGAAGAAAAGCTATTAAAAGAAAAAAAATAGATGGCTGTCCTATCTTCTTTTAAGTGTCATCCTATTTTCAGTTGGAAGAAGCTGCAAAATAAATAGATTTGTCGATATAACTTCTCTGTGGAGAATGTACTTCAAGAGAGGTTTTCCATCTAGTGGCTCTAGAACTCTGAAAAATAAAGTTTCATTATTTCCTGTGGTCCCTGTTACCTGAAGTACGAACTGCTGGGATTAGTAGTGATTTTAGTAGTAGTTTCTTACTTGGTCTACTTAATATGTGTTCTCCCTTTCCAGGTCAAGAATGGCAGGCATAAAGAAAGAATATAAGAAAATAAAAAGTTATGCCTAATGTTTTAGAACTGTAAAAATCATCTTTTTGTTTAATTCTTTGTGACTAGATTTTAGGTTTTTTAATAATATCATTTTTTGAGAGTCTATTAGAAATATTATTCTATAGAAAGTTACATTATAGGATGGTGATTCCTCCCTCAAAATTAAATTTCTGTTCTAACTCAGATTGCCTGAATCACAAAGAAGTCAGCTGAAATTAAAGACCAGAGTGGTACTGGGAAATAGCCCTGTTTTGAGGTAGTGACAAAATAAAATCCATCCAAATGCCAATTGGAGAATAACTATTGATTAAAAAATATATATGGGTATGAATGATATGGTATGTCTGGCCTTAGTTTCTGTCTAGAGAAAAACTGCTTAAAATAGTTCAGGCATGTCTTCCAAGAAGATGGCTAACTCTTTGCCTGAACTTAAATGAGCCAGCCCAGGGGCCTCCCTGGCGGGCCAGTGGTTAAGGATCCGCCTTGCCGTGCAGGGGACGCAGAGTCAGTCCCTGATCTGGGTCCCGCACGCCGCGGAGCACCCAAGCCCATCACCACAACTTCCAAACCCACGTGCCGCAACCACTGAGGCCTGCATGCTCTCGGGCCTGTGCTCCACAGCAAGGGGAAGCCCATGTGAAGCAGCGAAGATGCAGCACAGCCAAAAATTAAATTAAAAAGTTTTTATTAAAAAAAAATTAGCAGTCAAACTTTGGGGCCAGCTGCACATTTAGCCCCTCTTGGTGTATAGAGTGGTTGCTTCTGCCGTTTGTGCAGTGTGCACTGTGCTTTATAAAGATAGGGTGCCTGGAGAGCCAGCCTGGCACAGTGGAGGACATTCTGTGACTAGAACTATATTTAACGATTGGTAGAGTCTCTGGAGGAGACATTTTTAGTCTCTTTGACCTGATAAACTTTATTTTTTTCTGTAGAACCTTGGTGATGATAACTCTAAGCAGAAAGGGAATTTTAGCCCATGTGTGTGCGAACAGAGCTTTATGCTGATGATTATACAGTGGCTACTTGGAAATATTTTGAGGTTTGTGTAGATAAATATGTAAATTCTATATTGGTCTAATGGATATGTTCCTGGGTCCTGGCCTCAGCCTTGAAAGAAGCAGAATTCTCTGTAGGTTATTACTTCACTGATGTGAAAGAGCATGCGTAAATTCCTGAATGCCTAAAATGAAAATTAGGTCCTGGTAAAAATGATTTTTCTGAGTCGAGAAAAGCTCTCGAATAGTTTTCTTTAATAGTTTGTACTTAAAAATTGGTGTTAACAGCCAAAAAGCGTAACTGTTACTTTCATTTTATCTTCCCTTGAGCAAGTGTTGGTGCCTGCTCTGGTGGCCCATTGATAGAGTTGAAAATGCGGTGATGTAGAGGACTTGCCTGCTGGCCCGTTGGTGAGGACCCTGCCTTCCAGGTCGGGGCGCCATTTCTGTGCACTGTGCTTTATAAAGATAGGGTGCCTGGAGAGCCAGCCTGGCACAGTGGAGGACATTCTGTGACTAGAACTATATTTAACGATTGGTAGAGTCTCTGGAGGAGACATTTTTAGTCTCTTTGACCTGATAAACTTTATTTTTTTCTGTAGAACCTTGGTGATGATAACTCTAAGCAGAAAGGGAATTTTAGCCCATGTGTGTGCGAACAGAGCTTTATGCTGATGATTATACAGTGGCTACTTAGAAACAATTTGAGGTTTGTGTAGATAAATATGTAAATTCTATATTGGTCTAATGGATATGTTCCTGGGTCCTGGCCTCAGCCTTGAAAGAAGCAGAATTCTCTGTAGGTTATTACTTCACTGATGTGAAAGAGCATGCGTAAATTCCTGAATGCCTAAAATGAAAATTAGATCCTGGTAAAAATGATTTTTCTGAGTCGAGAAAAGCTCTCGAATAGTTTTCTTTAATAGTTTGTACCTAAAAATTGGTGTTAACAGCCAAAAAGCGTAACTGTTACTTTCATTTTATCTTCCCTT